TCGAGACTAATCTATTCTCCCTCCTTGTCTTCTGCCTTTCATCTCCTCAAGCAGCCCATGCTGACAACTGTAAATGAGATTAGACTTCAAGGCGTGGGGCAGATGCAAAACCCCCTCTGTGCACTGCCAAGAGACCCTGGTAGCTTTTTAAGTGTCTTTCCTCTTTATAATGCACAGCTTGGTGGAGGGGGAAAAGGGTGCAAATTTCTTGTCACACTTGCAGAAGCATCTAATATAGCAGGCAAGGCAGACCCTGGTTTTAGGGCCCGGATGCTAATCTGGTATCACCATGGACAGTGTTCCCACCAGCACCTCTGATTCTCCAGTTCACATCAGAAGATGAAGTAACAAGTCTATGACTAATTCCAGTTCCTATAACCTCCTCTTTGCAGCACCACTCCACTTAAATGCAGGCATATGTCCTGAGAACACTACTCTAAAAAGACAGTGATACTCCAAACTTCAGGCAAGGACTTGAAAGTCGCATACAACCCTGTGCTCAACCCCCCTACCTATACTGCTGCTCTCACTGCCATTGTTTCCTATTCCTCATCTTGCAGTTTCTGCTCCTCCTGCTCCCAGTGACCCCCACAAACCAGTGGTGAGACACAAGCAATTTGTCAGAGAAGCTAAATCTCCAGGCACAAACCACTGCCTAGAGCTCAGAGAGAACCGCCTTGCAAGGCATTCCAGCCAGAGCTGGCAGTGGTTAGCCAGCAACAATAGTCAGGGAAACTTCAAAGCAAAATCTGATGTTTAGCTCAACAGTGCCCCAGTAAACAAACTGTAATTTCTTTTACTGTGTAGGAAATAGTTCATCCTGCCTGTGTTAAAGTCTATCCAGAGAAAAGGGACACAGTAAAAGTTCATTGAGTTAAAAATAATTCCCCATCTTGGTTACCACCAACTATGATAATAGCTGGATTGCTTTGTAATTTCAAACATGCAGGAACCAGACCTGGATATAAGGCGGCTGCAAAGTCAGCGTATTTTCAAGCATATTCTAATGTTTTCTGAGACCATGGCAGAGCAGGTTCAGCTGCACCCACTGCTGGTAGCGTCAGCAACTGAACTCTTCCTGGCAAGTGCCTGTCTGGTCCAGGATATCTCTACAGCCTTGTTTCTGAGCTCAAGTTTTCCATTAGCTGCCTACACAGGCTGGGTAACTTGGCATCTCTCTGCATTCCCCATAAACTCTGTTCATCTGTTGCCATCACACCCACGTACAAGTCTCAGGAAGGAATCCAGGATTTCTAAAGCAGCTGCAACAAAAACACAGCCTGGATTGACAAGCAATGGGATCAAGGTGCTGAGCCGGTGAGGAAGGTCTTTTTGGAGAGTTTTGTGTGTGTCTATTTAAAACAAGTTTGTTGTCATGACTACAAACCAGAATACGGGTGACAAGAAGTGAGAACTCTGAGATGAGGACTGATAATGTTAATTCACCCTTGAAATCTCAGCAGCCATGGGGATGGAGAAACACAGAAGAGGATACAAGCTCTTGGCATCTAACAATGCAGAAGGCAGGTCTGTCCTAATAACAAACATCATCCTCCTAGATAGCCCCTTTCACCCAGCACAGCCAAGGGCTGGATAATACCGATTAGCTGCAGTCATCTCTAAAGCAGGGGCACTGGGGACATGGAAGCAAAGAAGGGCACCCAAGGCCCTAGAGAGGACACAGCAAAGCAGGAACAGCCCCTCAGGAGACTCATCTGCAGCCTCACTCTCTATCCATCAGAGAGCTTGGCTTCAACAAGGACAGTGAGATGTTCTCATGTCTGCATGCAAGGCAATTAACAGAGAAGTGTGAAACTGCCAGGACCTGCTCCTGGGATTGTCGCATTTTTAACTTTACCAGAAGATTAACAAAAGAATCGGTTTTCAGACAGTGAAGATCAAATGAAGAAAATCCCAAGTGACTGTGGAGGGATGGAGAGGGGCAATGCTTTGCTCTGCTCAGAGCTTGGATTCCACACAGAGACAGCATTGAGTGCTCAGCGACGGTGCAGGCTCTGCAGAAGGCAGCAGATGCGGCGCTAATGTGTGTGTGGGGGTGGAGGGTGTTTATGAGCACAATAAATAAATGTATGAATCCCTATAAAAGTTCCCATATAAAAGTGAGTTAGAGCTGCCCAAGGGCCATGGCCTCATAATAAAAACCACATCTCGTAAGCACAGTATGAAGCAGCAGCTGTAATGTAACTGCCTGGCTGCAGCACTGAGAAGCCGTGAGTCTGCCTGCTCCCAAACTCGTGGGTAAAGTGCTGACCCCACTAAATGCAGGAGGAATTTTGGTACTTGCTTCAGTGTAGCCAGGATTTTGCCCTGGAAGGGGCTTCTCTGAACCTCAAAGTCTAGGAAGCAGTTCTGGATCTGCCTTTTTGCCAAATTTAAGTTCTTTTACTTCTTAAAAAGAAGTAATCTGCAAGTGGCTGGAGATACTGGCTTGAGTTACTGATAGTTTCCCGTGTGACAGATTAAAGCTAAATTAAAGCAAATAAAAAATTCCTCCAGAAAGCATTGTCAGTCACCCCTCACCCCAAAATATACAAGCAAAAAGCACTGATTTATTGCTGAGCAGCAATTTTCATCAAGAAGTTTTGCATTTTTAATTTAAGATGGGGGGTGGGGGTGGAGGGGTGGTGTCATAAAAAAAAACCTCAAATCCTTTAATTTTGTATGTCTAAATAGAAAACTTCTTTTTTTGTCAGTAAATCTAATTAAAACTATTTTTAAAAAATATTTCCCCCCAGAAAAAAAAAAAAAAAAACCAAACTCTTTCCCCCCTCAAAGGCAAGAGGAAGAAGTGCTAACCCTTCCCTTGCACCATTTGCTGTCATATTCCATTACCCCAGAAACAAGAGACTTGCAGACTCCCAGCCTGTGAACTTTCAACTGCTCTAACACTTTCTCCAGAGCCTTCTCTTGCTTTGCTGCTCTCCTGGGAGGTGGCAAACGCAGAGGCCCACATGTCTCAGGTGAGAAGGTGGCTACCAAACTTCAGTCCCAGCCTATGAGTCACAAATGCACAGGGCACGTGAACCTTTGGCCATGCATTTCCACTCTAAGTACACATAAGGCCAGGTCATATCTCCCAGGGCGAGCTGCAACTGTTCTGAGCTTCAACACATAGGCTGTCTCTAGTTAAGACTGTCCTCATGATTCACATGGGTGCCAATCAGAGCTAAACAAAACGCTCCCCTCTCCTACCAGCACAGAGCTACGGGGAATAGTAACCTTGATCCATGACAAACAGCATCTTGCAATTCACTGCAAGGCTAATTGCATTGCATTGCTGATATAACACTCAAGAAAGATGTCAGCTCCTTGGCTTTGCCCACAGGCAACAAAGACATTATTGATTTATTCAGGACTTACATCTAGTTGTGACAGGTTGTATTCTTTTTGATAATAAAGCCTTACAGACAAGGTTTAAGTTTCAGCTGCAGCCCTAATTGAAACCTAGCTAATTACTGAAGGTCTGTCTTTACAGCCCATTCCCTTGTTACTGGGGTAATGTTCTGTAAATCCAACAGTCAAACTTCCTCCTCCCTTAAAAAGAAAAAAAGAAGGAAAAAACCCCTATCTACTTTTCAAGCAAGTCCAATGGGAAATTACAAATTCCTCTATTTGAGCCTGAGGTAGCTACCAGCCAAGAGCCCCATCCCACAAGGACTCAATGACTTCAAAGGATGCTTGTAGAATCAGACTCCAAATTAAGGCCAACGTTTGAGACAGGGGAGAATTCACAGTGGCTGAAACAAACATTCAGGCCAGACCACAAGCAATTTATCTTGCATCCACCTTTTGAGTGGCAGCATACCCTACAAGCCCAAGCAAATTCAGATACACCACACAATTTAGGTGTGATCAACAATTATAGTAATTAACTCCCAACTGCCAGCTTGCTTGACTGTACAACAACAAATGTATTGCAGTCCAGACACGTGGATTAGCAGTTGGTCACGATTAATTGGGTATAAATGAGCACTCATCAGAACAGGCAGTCCAGTTATTAGCTGAATGATAACGGGACCCCCAGGGTACCAAGGACATCCTTTCGCAGAGACTGTATCACAGCTTTTGGCTTTGCAGTTCAGCCAGACGCAGGAGCAAGATTATCGCCTCATAAAGCAGGGATGAAATCCCATCCAAACTTTAGTACTGCCAGGATGATCAGAGTAAGCTCCCTTACAGAAGGTGACATTTACACACACACACACAACAGCATAAAAGTTTACGATATCAAGAGAGTGCTGCGGCTTAGAGTCAAGTCAACCCTAGAAAAATCCTTCAGTTTATAGCTGCTTCACATTTCAACCTGGCAGATGGAAGGAATACCACAAAGCAAACATGTCAGTTAAAGCAGCTAAAAGCATAATTTACAAACTAGAATTCACAACCCAAATTCTCAGTATCTGTAACTCAGAGCTCTACAGAGCTGTGCTGATTTCAGCCAGGTACAGATCTGACCCAAGGCATTTACCTGATACAACCATAGTCTTTGGGTACAGAAACAGATACTTTGCTAATTCTGTGCAAGTTTAAAGCAGCAGGTCCTCCCCTGGATGATGTAACCCTGCAGAAGGCAGTTTAACAGCTGGGGAGCCATTTCAGGGAATACAGTGCTGGTTTTACAGGTCCTAGTTTGCCTGCCTCAAAGAGTAGAAGATCCTTTAATCCACAGAGCAAGGACAGCACAACTGGCAGCAACCAGAGCACCTGCAGCAGCACCTCAGCTGAGCCCCTGTGCTAGCAGGGATGGCCAGGCTGGGCCCACTTCTGTCCTGGGCTACTATGAAGAGGAACTGAGAGAAAGGCCCAAAGCAGTAGCAATAATTATGACTTGCACACCAGCATCCTGGGAACTGGGAGCATGGAGCACATTACTCCTAGGCTGTATTTTAAATGCAGGGGAAATATAGCACAGAGGAAATTAACTGGATGTTAGATTCTTTGCTCACAAGACAGAGACAATATATCAGTTGTTCACATACCTGATCAAACAGGGCTTTCCAATGCTGAAGAGGCAATGCATAAGGGAGGAAAAAGAAGAAAAAGAATGTATAAGAGCAACGACATTAGCATGCAGTAAACAGTAGAAGTATATTCTAACAGAGAAATAACCAAATGATTTAGTGCCATTTCCAACATCCTTCTTCATCCCAGAATCACCTACCCTTCCGGGGGAGGAGGCAGGGGGAATCTACCAACCACAGGGAGGACAGTTTTCATTTACAAATCCAAATTAGGATGAACTCAGAACATTCATGTGTTAATTCTGTTTTCTCCCGCTTTGTCTACTTGCAGGCAAGCAAGGAATAAAAGGCTTTTTTACTCACAGTGATCGAGAAAGCTTGCTGTATATTGAGGGGAGGGAAGAATTAGCAATGGTTTTTCAGATCACTTTCTGAGGTCTTGTGACCCAACACTGGCCCACAGGCCACCTTGTCAGGTTGTCAGAGCCTTGTCTGCTGCCTGCTCCTATCTTTGGCAAGGACTTGCTGCAAAGTCTGATAACTCATCGGTTCTTTGAGCCTCACATGTCCACATCTGTAAAACAGGTAATTGCCCTCGAGCAAGGTGGGAGTGCAGAAGGCTAGAAAGAGCCCATTACAAGGATTTACCCCACAACTTTTGTTCTAGCAGATCTGCCTGAAAAGCTCTGTATGGGAAGAAGCTCCACTTTAACACTGACGACCATGTTGACATTCCACAAGTCCTTGTCACTTGGGAACAAAAAAAAAACAAACAAACAAACAAAAAAAAACCAAACCCAAGCTGGTGACTGGCTCTAATTTATGCTTTGTAGGAAGACTGACTTCAAGTCACCTCCCTGACCCAGGCTTGCTGCCTCACTGTCCCACAGAACAGAGGAAATTCCTAATGAATTGTTTAAGAAGCTCTCTCATCTCTCCTGGATTTGGGGGTCAGCTGAGGAGAGCAACAGTGGGGTAACCACTGGCTTGGGGTCCCCAGAAAAAAACCTTGCACATTTCCAGCTCTCCTATCTGAGGTGCTGTTCATCACGACACTTCGTTTCTGCCTCATTCACCTTCCCAGAAAAGTAAAATGAGTAAAATAACAAACATCAGACTCATGGAAGCAAATCTCCTCACTGTGCTATATGCAAAGCAGAGCTCTGGTGAGAGTCTTATCTAGTCCTGGAAGAACATTTCCTTTCACATGGTAGGCAGATCTAAAGCAGAATTGACTGGATAGACAGTGGGATATCAGGCCACTGAATTCCATTTAATCAGTTAAGTCTCCTTCTCCTCATGACTCTATCCATTTATAAACTCCCATTTATCATCATAAATCAGCCCAGCACTTTAAACAGAACATTTTGAGACTGCCTGAATCCTGGCTTTGTGGAACACTGCTCCAAGAGCTGTAATGACATCACAGCTGAGCTGTTATACACTGTCAAGGCTGTGACAGCCAAACCTCCACTACATAATATTTTTGTGGTTAATAACACATAAAGAACTGACCTTTGTGTCAGTTCTTACTGGCCAAGCCAGAGAGCTTACATCAAGCTTTCAAATGTAGTAACAACAGAAAATCAACCCCCATTAGGTCTCAGGGGGGCATGCTCCTAGCGCAGAGCAGTTCAAATTTTCAGAGATGATGCTTTGTAGCCTACTTGCTTCAGCAGGAAATCTTGGCCAAGGAGGAGGAGGGCATTTACACCACTTCCTGCTCTTCTGACTTGCAGATGATATACGATACCTCAGGCTTCTGTCACATCATCTTTTGCCAGGTCTCAGCAGCTTCCCACAACCGATGCAACTGCAGGAGGCTCTAACTCCATTTTGTTGATTGCAGAAAACAAGGTACCAGAGTCAAATAACAGTGCAGATGCCAGCATAAGTAAGGGCAAGATACTGCGAGCTGGATCAGACCCAAGCTGTCCTACCTCAAGGTCAAGCAGCAAGGCAGTAGGGGAACTAGGATGAGAATCTAGATTTCATCAGGGAAAGCTCATGGTCTCTCTCCTGTTCCAGGAGCCCAATCCTGCCAGGCATTCAGCACTTCAGCATCTCCTGGGCCCCTGGCAGGATTGAAATACTATGGCTGCATTTGTGTAGAGGCTGGCGTAACTCCAAGGGGCCTGCATGTATGACAACAAGAAATCTTTCTTGTAGACCATCCAGACAAGCACAAAATTTGTTAGGGAAGACAAGGTCAAAGTCTGAGGTAAGCAAGCACTGGGATTTGGAAACCTGGCCTACACAAGCTCCTGGAAAGCCACCCTTTCTGAGTGAAAACCACATATTTTCTGCCCCTGGGTCAGGCATGCTCCTCTTCGGACTGTCTGGCAGCGTTGTAGCAGAGGTCAAACTGCATCACACATTCCCTTCTGACTGTAGAGTACTCAGGAGTACAGCCTAGGGAATGCAGCTCTACCAGGCAGCTGCACTTTCTCTGCTACCCTCTGGGAGGAAAATCCAACAGCAAATGAATTCTAGGTGATTTAGAAGGCAGGACTGGGGGATGAGGAGCAGGCACTGCCCCTAAGCAGCCCCAGGCAGGTTCCTCCAGCAGTGTCATAAAAGTAGAGGGGAAAGGGGACGTGCCATTGCTGAAGGCTTAGTTCACAAGTGTCTCTTTCATAGCAGTGCAAGACCCAAGAGAGACCCTGCTTCAGAAGGACTTTTAGTATCACTGCTTCATGGCTCCATAGGCAGGAATAGACCCAGCACTTACCTCTGCAGACTGAGCAGACACTTTGAGCAGTCCTCAGCCCAGCATTTTTCTGTGAAGAAAGGCTGCAAGCAGTCCTGGGATGCACCAGGATCTGCTTACGTTCACTCCCTCCCAGACAGGTGCACAGCAAGCTCCTGCTTCCAGCACCGGCAGATGCAGAACTACCACCTCAGCTCTGCAGGCTTTGCTGCTCAGCCTGGTAGGAGCAGATTCAAAGCACGCAGGACCACTTGGTGTCCTTCTAGGCTGGATGAGCAGAGGCACAGACCCGGTGCCAAGTTATCCCACCCTCAGGTGCAGTCAGGGCTCAGAGGGTGGAGAGAAGCTATCCTGCCGAGCCGGGGAGAAAACTTCCTCGGCTGTTGCTCGGGGGCTGGAAGAGACATCTGTCACCCTGTGAGAGGCTGGGACTCGGGAAAAGCTCTCTGCCCCCGGGAAGCCTCTCAAGCCAAAGCGTCAACCCCTCTCCAGCCTCTAGAGACGCCTGTGTGCGCAGCTCCGCTGCCCCTACCCTGTGAGCCAGCATCTCCCCGGCGGCGCGGCTGCGGCCCCGGCAGCCTGTCCGGGCCGCTGCCGCCGGGGCTTTCCGGGCTGGGGCGGGGAGGAGGGAGCGGCGGCCCCGGCGCCGGAGGCGGCCCGGCAGCTGCCGGAGCCCGCAGACACCCGGCGGCGAGGGACGCGCAGAGCGGCGGGGACGGCGGCTTTCCCTCGCCCCAGAGGGTCACCAGCCCCATTCCTCCCCCAATCCCGGACCTCACCTATAAATAGCCTGAGCCGATTAACCCGGCCCGGGGGAAAAGGCGGGGAAGGTATCGAGCAAAGGAAACTTACATCCTCTGCGGCCATAGGTAGGACATCCTCGGAGTCCAGCACCTCGATTTCTTCCGCCTCTGAGCTGGCAGCCACAGCAGGGGAAGAGCTGGCGTGAGGCTCCGGCAGCCTGTCTCCCATGCTTGGAAACGGTCCCCCTCCAGCCCCCGCCCCCCCCCCCCCCCCCTTCTCCCCAGATCCTTAAAGAAATTAAACCTAGCTGCTGCTTGGCAAACTTTCAAGCGCAGCCGAGCCTGCCTTCATGACTCCCGCAGCCGGGAGGGGAGGAAATCCTCCATCCAGGGAACATCCAATTAGAGCGGGCAGCATCCCGGCGGCAGCTCCGGACGGGGCAGGTGACACCTCCCCACGCCGCCTCGGACAACTCGCCTCCTCCCGCTGCCCGCCCCTGCGGCCGGGCGGTGCCCCCAGCCCCGGGCACGGCCGGCGCCTCCCCCGAACCATAGCGGCCCGGCGGGGGGGAGCTGCGCCTCCCCGGGAGGGAGGGGGGAAGGGGAGGGGGTGTCTCGGAGGCAGAGCCCAGAGCTGCAGCACGTCCGAGGATGCGGGATGGGCGGCGACGAGGCGGGGGGCGGGAAAAGCCCTGGGTCGCCCCTGCCCGGGAACCGCCACCCCACCCTCCCCCGGAGCGACCCATCGAGGTTCGGCCGCAGCCGGTACCGGTCAGCCCCCCCGGTCTCAGCCCTTTCCTCCCGCCCGCTCTCAGGTGCCTGCCATTGCGGTCCTGACGCTCGTGGTCCCGCTGAGCGAGTGCGGGCAGGTGGCAAACCGCTGTCGGGTTATTTGGACTTTCTGAAGCTAACTTCGCCGTCCCCGAGAGTCTCACAATTAGGGGCTGGTGTGGGGTTTTAAAATTTTTACCGTCATTATTTGTACCTATATATCAAGATGGGTATCTTAACCATCTGGAGCTTGGATGAGGAACTTGAGGAATGCCTCGACTGAAGGCAAAAATCCAGCAGTTTGAGCTTCTTCCAATCAAGTACAGAAATAGCAGGCTGGCAAGGGGGAAGGGCAAGCCGAGCCAGACTGATCCACGCAGTGCCAGTGCCTTTGCCTTCTGCTGCATCAACAGCCAGAACTAGACAGCCCCGAGTCAGAACGGAGAGGGTCCAGCACTGCAGGCCACATTATCTTGATGCAAGAGCTCCAATACCAGATCAGACACACCTCAGCCACAAGGTCAGACCCAAGCTAGAAGTCCCTGTTTTCTCTACTTTTTTTTTTTTTTTTTTTTTTAATGCAAAACAAAAAGCAATCCAGATAGAATACTTCTGGAACAGGAATGGGATCTTCCATTCAGCAGACAGGAGATTGTCTCGCCCATCCACAGCTGCCACGAACCTCATACTGCATATTACTTTTGATCTGGATCAAATTTGTCCCACACAGTGATGGAAAACCACACAGACCCATGCTGCTAGCCACTGAGTTATAGCTTATAGTTACTAAAAGGTCTTTCTGCAGGAAAAGGGAAACAGCGCCCACTTCTTTCCATATGCCCACAGGAGCTACAGCTACCTACCAACATGGAACAGCAAACTTCCCCATCTCGGCATCCTGCATGGCTGGCACTAATTTAAGGTAAGGGCCAAGGGCTAAAATATCATCCCACACAGCTGAGCAAGGTCAGGTAAAGGGAATGATCTCCTCTGTCACCTGATCTGGCTCCTTGGAAAGAACAACAGGAGAACTCAATCCTGCAAATGAGCCATATATGGGGAACAAATGAAAGAGTTAAGATGACAACCTTATCCCGTAGTACTGTCCAGCTGCCCCATCCTGAACAAACATTTGAAAGGAATCTGTTATCTTCAAGGAGTGTGAAAGTAAAAAACTTCCCACTGTTCGTGGTTCTGAGCTCAGCTGATCACAATCCTAGCCAAAAGATATTTTTAAAATAAATGTCCCTTCTAGTATTTTGAAGATTTTAGCTAAACTTTAAAAGCAAGTGCAAGAAGTAAACCCAGGACCTTTGGACCTGAAGAGCAGAATTCTTCTACCTTGAGATTCCGGTAGGAAAATTACAACAAAGTAAAAGCTCTTCAGGCATCTCCAGTGCAACTGATGAGTAAGAGGGCTTCTCTTCCCTTAATGACCAAAACTATCATCACTAGTTAAACAGAGCAGACCTTCTTCAGGTTTAAAGGTGACTCCTTCAACACAGCATCCACTTCTTGTTTGTCTAGAGCCTGTTGAGTCTGCTCTCTCAAAGCCTAAGAACAGGCTATCAAATCTGAGAAGCAGTAACCCACTTTACTCATACAACACCATCCCTGCCAAAATATTCCAGGCACTAAACAGCTATTATAAAAACAATCTCTTTTTGATTAAAAAACTAAACCTCATCAAAACTTCAAAACAGATGGATAAGCAAAAATATGCTATGCCAACAGAAAGAAACATAAATTGTTTTAAGACATCTTATAGGGAGGAAGGAGGCGAGTTTTTAAAGTAAAGAGAGAATAAATGAGCTGAATTTCAGGCGTAACAGGTTCCACACAGTTGGGGACTACCATGTCAAGAGCTCTGTATCACCTCTGATTCCAGATGCTAGCAGGAAAATGCTAACATGAAGTCTAACAAATGCTATAAACAACAGGGAGAAACCCCCAAACCTTATCTTAACACCAAACTCCCACTAAACTGGAAAACTGCTGCAAAATTTCAAGTTAATTTTTCTTGCCTAAGGAATGTTTTTCACTAGTGGTAACGATAGAGTTTTTTTCAGGGAAATATCTCTGCACATTGCACATATGAGCTAGTGCTGTGCTATAATTGTCACAGAAAGGAAATTAACAGTATTCTAATGAGGAGTTTTGTTACAGACAAATTATCATCTTCCAAGTCTGTGAGAGCCTCTTAATTTAGATTGTCATTTCTCCCCACTGCATACCCTGGTGACTCTACCCTGGAAAACAGTAATTGCTACAGAAACTAGGGAACTGTGGACCACCACAGAGCAGATGCAAACAGAACATGGAAGGGCTTCAGAAGAAACTTAGACAGAAAGAACCTGAGATAATAAACCCCAATCCAGTTTCACATTCAGTCATGTAAGCAACCTTTTATATTCCTAATACTGCAAACAATATGTACATATACATCCTTTGTGCATTGTAAGTGGCTAAAAGGTCAGCTCATGAATATGCAATAAAAAGCCTTCAAAGTAGGGACCCAGCCAACATCTGTTAGCTAAGCCTCCTGGAGCAAATCAAAACATTTTGTTCATGAGTCCTTTTTCCACCCAAAGTAGCCCCAAAAGGCTTTTACAAAACTGCCCAGCTCTCACAATTGGAACTAAATGGAGCAACCTACCCAGCTGGATTACTGTATTGGAGCTCAGCCAGCCCGCCAGCCCTGGAAGGCAACTTCTGAAGCAAAATGCAGTATTTTGGATTGGAAGCGAAAAACACAGCACCCAAACACAACCCTAGTAAGAAGTTAGATAGCACATACAAAGTTGGGACCAGTCAGATTAACCCCTTCAGACTCATGAAAAAGGCAAAAAATCTTTAAGGACCACAGACGGTGTGAGATAGGGGTTTAAACTGTGTTCAAAAGGTAACAGTGGTAAAGGGCTCTTTCAGTATTAATAATCCTCCTTGTGGCTGAGACAATACGAGTTCACCTTTTAGGATCAATATCAATGAGACTATATGTGCTGCCTTTTGGCTTCTCCCTGATTCATGGATACTTTCCCTGATGAAGAGAAGGAATAGTAGGAAACAATAAGGTCCAATCTCTTCTCTGATTTCTAACCTGTGTTGAAAGACTATCCCCTTGACCCTCCCTATTCCTCATGTTAGAACTTTTCCAAGTCCAGCACTTAAAAAGTAGACTGTAATCTTTCTACCTGCTCTCTCTTCTGCCCCAGTAGCTGTTATTGGTTGCAGCTGGTTCTAATTGTATTTTTGGTCACAGCTGGGGAAATAATTAAATCTGTCATTAATCCTTTTTTGGGTGATTGTTCTAAGAGGGAGCTCTCCTATCAGGTCAGCCCTACAGTATTTCAGATGTGTCTCTGCTCCTTTTTAGCTGTCACATGACAGGACCACAGCACACATTGGTAGGTTCATTCCAAATTAAAAGAATTGTTTGAAATGGAGACCAATTAATAACTCAAGGTTAATTTCTAACATAAAATCAAGTCATGCTTACAATTAATCCTGAACTGACAAGCTTTCAGACAGGAGGTCAAAGCTGAGGGGGTGAAGGATGTGTCTCCAAGGAAGATGATTCATGATCTTTGTCCTCTCAGTGACTTTATACCACAGCCAGGCAATTCACACATCAGACTGAACAGGAAGAAGAGATGGAATTTGGTCTTGGAAAATACAATTAAAAAAATTATTAGGAAACTAATGGGATCAGAGGAAAGAAAATAAATCACAGTGAAGAGAGCAGAAGTGAGTAGAGTTGACTGGACTGCTGCTCCTTCTCCCCACTCACTCAACAGCAATAGCTCAACTTTTTTGGCTTTCTGCTTTATGTGCTCCATGAGTAGCGTACTTTCCCCTCGCAGCAACTATAATCCTCATAGGATCCAGAAGGTCTTGGCCAGGGGTGCAGTGAACATCGCAACTCTTACCCAGGTGGCACAGATACATGGGTGTTCAGAGAAAACACCGGCCACCTGCCCAAAGGGGAAGGCAGCAGGGTTAGATACCAGGACTTGAGTTCTCCTCCCAGCTTTCAGTCCATGCAAATTCCTCTCCCTAAACCAACGGAGGAGACCTGGATGAGTAACAGTACGCAGCGATCTAACCTGCTTGTCATCAGCTCGGTGGCCGCCCCGGGGGGCCTCGCCTCAGGGCAGCTGCGTTCCTCTCGCCCGCGGCCCGGCCCGCCTCAGCGCTGCCGGCTGGACACGCGTTTTCCTCAGGGACGGTCCCGAGATCCCACCGCGGCTCTTCCCCGCCGGTCTCCGAGCGCTAGCTGAGCTGGGGGAGCCGTTTCACACGGCAAAGCCGGTGGCCGCCCGGTTCCCGCCCGCTCCGGCGCCGGTCCCGCGCTGAGCCGCTGCCCCGGCATCTCGGCCGCAGCGCGCCCCCTGGCGGCCGCTCCCGGCGGCAACGCCCGTCCGGCCCGGCCCGCGCCCCTGGGCCCACCCGTTTCCCTGAGGCGGAGGCGAGCTCGCGGCGCTCCGCAGAAAACCATTGGGGAGAGCACTCGCTGGCTGGCTGAGGCGCGGAAGGTCTAGGCCAGCACGCCAGGGCCAGCGTTTCCTTCCACACACACCGGGAGTCGCCGCCGAGGCAGTGTGGCACACATGGCACATGCGGAAGGCCAACCGCTCAAGGGAGATCAGTAGCGCCCGCATCCGTCCCGTCCCACCCCTGACCAACCCACACCCCGAAAAAATACAGTAACAGTCTCTGTATTGAGGCACAACAAAACACGAGCCGGTCATTGGAACAGCAGTTACAACACTCCAGCACTTGGCACAGATGATGAGCTGTGTCATTAATATAATACTGAAGAGATTTCTAGGAGAGGCACTTCTGGTAGGTGAGTGGGAATCCTAACTGTAAATCCCAAGTGTGGTATCAGACATTTAGATGTGTTTTGGAGCCAGCAGGCAGTGACTGGTTTAAAATAGCAGGCTCTCCCCAGAACTCTGACATCAGAGCTAGGCCAGGCAGGGCTGCTGAGCCATCAGTCCCTCAAAAGCCACTTCAGCATCAGCACAGTGGCAGTCTGAGATAAATTAGTGAGAAATTAAGTCCTGAAACATCCTTTCAGAAGTGCATGGAGGATGGTGGGGGAATAATCAGCAGTGTTAAGATCTTCTAAGTTAGAATTTCCCATTAGGAAAACAAACAAAAAAGGCTCAAAGAATCTAGTCTTCCCTGCTTGTCTTGATGTTAAAAGATCAACAGGCCCAGATGAGCAGTCAGATCCCTGCAAATTAAGTTACACTATCACAGTGGTCTTCTTACTGTTAGAATCTGGTCTCCTTCTACCAAGGCATGTATGTTGTACCTAAAGAAAAGAAAAAAAACATCACAAAATAAATGATTTGTCAGCTCTTGAGAACAAATTGTGCACTTTTCAGCTTTCATGTACCATTGCTGCATGATGCCACAAGCTCATGAGAAGTACTGTAAAAATTCAGGGACAGGGAAACATTTGCTTCCTCAGGTCATTGGTTCAAAAGCTCTACATAATGCTGGTGCATTTGTTTTCTGGATCGTGGATGTCAGAAGACATCTCACAGAAAAAGAACAGGAAATGTTCAACTACCTGACAAACCTTTCACAAGCACTATCCAGTGTCACATTCCATAACTGGCACTTGCGATGCTATACTCTACTATGTCCAGTTTCAGGCTTCCCAGTACATACTGGAGTGAGTCCACTACCAGGCGGCCAGCAAGATGGGTAGGGAGCTGAAACAAGAAATGAAAGAGGCTGAGAGAACAGGTCTTAAGAGAAGGTTAATGTGGGGGAAATTAATTTCTGTGGTCTCCAATTACTGAGCGGGGACATAGAGAAGTGGTCTCCGATGATCACTTTCCCAGGGAAAATGATAAGATTTTTTGTAACAGCATACACACCTCCCCAGAAAAGTATTAGTCCTATTTTCTTCAAAAACTTTTAGAAAATTAGTATTTTTCTAGAGAGAGTATAATAGTTTACAGATTGGAAGCTTGCTAATCTTCTATTGATAAAACCTTCTTGTTCAGTTTCTCTCACCACTTTTCTGGAAGATCAGTATAATAGGTATTAGCTTTGCCAAACAACCCACTGAACTATTTACTTTCTTTTCCTCCTTTTTGTCCTCAACAATAAACATGAAGTTCATGGTTGACTATGCATTTGTGTTTCTACTTTAAAATATCACAGAAGTCACTTTTGTCTTCTGAAATAAACTTCTGATGGAGGGAGCAAACTCATAAGACAAATCAAAGAAACTACATAGCCAAGACATTTAAGATCCAAAAACTGAGGGCACTGACAGTATTCTCTCAGAAAAAGGACAATATTTTATACGGACCACCTTTCAGGGCTGGGGAAGGGGGGAAAAAAGTAAATAAAAGATAAACACAAACGCAGTACACAGTTATTTTATTGAAATACCTGAAAAGGCCAGCAATGGAAAAATAAGTTTGTCATGAGGAATTAATGTTTGATTTACTTGATCATTAAAAAAGCTGTGTCTATTGGTAATTCTAGCCAGTTACAGAATGCACTGTGATCCATGCAACTAATATACTACAGCAGAATAGGCACTGTGTACTATTTTAGTTTTATCTTATACACAGCTTTTAACAGGTATGATTGACATATGTGAGAAATTAAACAGCAACACTTTTTGAATTATAAACATTTATAATATACAAATTTGCTCATCTGATTCATAAGGGTTATAAAACGCAACATAGTGGAAAATGAAAACCACGAGTTACACAGCATATGAAGTTGATATGGCAGTTTTTGAAGTTTATGTTTTTCCTTTTAAAAGAAAAATTGGACTGCTAAATATGTCACTGTTCATGTAACATAGAAAATCATAGGCCAGGACAGCAACAGTGACTTTTTATTGAAATACAGAGTTAGTGGGGAAATTTGATGATCAGCTAAAAAAACAGATAATGAAAATCACAAATTCTGCCTGCTACAGCTTATAGTCCAAAAAGATGAAGTCACTTCAGATGAATGTGAAATAAATAAGCAATCCTTGACGAAGTATGATCCTTGAGTTGAACCTACTCTACTGAAAATTAATTTCAACTATACACTAGTATGTCACCGTGGTGAAACATCCAAGAACAGGATTTTGAATAGCTTTTTGGGAAGCAATGTCTTACTGCTTTAATATGTACAGGTTATTTACAACGAATTCCCTTTTGGCCTCAGAAGTTAAGCCATTTTAGCTGGCTGTTAAGATGCAATTCTTTTTTCCACACATTATGCAATACTGTAGTTAGAGCTATAATTTAAAATAATCTTATGCATGAATTACAAATATTAATAAAGTAACTCTGCATATATAAATATTTCTAGCAGAATTTAAAGCATCCAGAATGTACATAAAAGTGTTTTTTTTTTTTTTATTTGGTAGGGCCAGATGTGCTTCTTCCGAGATCATCGTTGCTTTAATAATGCTTTGTACATAGCAAAACCCAAAACTGCGAAGACAGTAGCACCAAAACTTGCTCGGAGCCAAAACGTAGAGCTCTTGAGGTCTGCTTGTGTCACATGCCTAAAATTTAACACACATACAAAACCAGGTTAATTCCATGACAAGAATATCAGACAATTTGTGCTAAACTACTCTGCTTTTGGAAATTCATCACTACACTTGTCACAGGCAAGCAACTTACAATTCAGCCTTATGAGTACTTACATAGTCATTTTACTTTTCTTAAAAGCTTAGGATTTGATCTGCAGCCCTGATCACATTAGTGTATCTCACTAAAGTCAGAAAGCTCGCACAGCTAGAGAGAAGTGCGGGAGCAGAATGTGGGGAGGGCAGTGTGTCTTCTTTGAAAGTACCAGCAAGCATTCAGAGAAGGAAACCAAAAATAGCTAGCAAATAATTAATAACCCATAGTGAGAACAACTCTGTCCACAAAATGCTTTCTTAAAATGTTGAGTTTGCTATTTCTGCTTTTCCATGTAAAACTTTCCAGTCCTTTTGAATATCTACTTGTACTTCTTCCAAAAAGTTTACTGACAAGTAGCAAGTAATATTTTTCCAAAAGCTAGAATCAAAAGAAGGACCATTTGTAAATCCCTTTCTTCCCAGTACAGTCACAAGAACAGCAATAGAAACAGTCATCCAATACCAAGCTGAAAGCTAAAAGAAAGTGCTAGTGAATCAAGCAATGACAATGGCATCAACAGAAAAAGACAAGATGTAACAACAGTATGAAGTGACTGTATGACATAAAAAGCCACATCTTGCATGACATTAGAGACAGCCAATGACCCAACTCTCCCAAGTACTGCAAGAAATCTGTGAGCATGCTCAGTTAAACACGGCTAGCCATCCTCAAAAATAGTCTCAAGTATGACAGCTTACCATAAAGCAGGAGCTACCACTTAAAACCAGTTATAATAAGTGCCATAATTCAAAGCACATGAAGTTCCTAAACAATATTAAAGGGTTTGTTTATTTGTTTACTTTTGTTTAAGATAGAACTTACAACAGAACTTCACTAGCCTAAGCTAGTATGTATTTAGCTTGTATTAATTGTCATGGGTTACTCAATAAAAGCTGCAGTAGTATTAAGTATAAGGAGCATACAGAGATCCTACGCACACACAGTGTCCAAGAGTTCATATAGTGTGAACTGCAGAGCTATAGCATACAAGATATTAAATAAAGCAGGAATTGTTACTTGCCATCAAAATTCACAAAACCAGTGTAGGATATTCTTTAGTAGACATTTGCAGGAGCAATAGCAGCCATACAGATAATCAGTGTACTGTCACACTACATGCTGAAGAACAGGCTCTTTGGTGCACAAACAGTGAAACACAGCTGGTCTCTAAAAAATCCTAATCTTATTTAAGAATATCTTGCTGGGTTATGGAACAGATCAAATCCATTAATTCCTGCAAGCCTTAGTTTTTCTACAGCTAGTTTTGACAAACTCTCTGCAAACTAGATGTCAAGTGGTTTGCTGAGGGGAAGAAAGGGAAAGGCAATGATCTTAGTTTGGCTGTTGTTACCTGTCTTCAAGTAAACGTGGACCAAGAGATGACTCCATGAAGATGGAATCTTCTACAAAGTTGACGGCGTGCACCTGCTGCATAATACTGCTCTCCTCGTCTGCTAACAGCATGGCCCCCAACTCATCTATGTAGGGTCTTAACCTTTTTACACACATGCACAGTTTGCAGTTCATAGCATGGCTCAACAACAGCAAGTGTCTCAAATATGCTCAAATTACAAAGCCCAGAGAATTTATAATTTTTAGCCATCTAGTCCCTGACTCTTGTGCAGTTGTTAAAAACTTAGTGCTTGGGGAAAACCAGGAATAAATGGAGTTTGTACTTTTGATGAGCTACGTAAAAGATACGATTTTATGTAGCTAAATGCCATTGCTTCAAGGACAAAGAAAACTGCTTAAGAAACTGAATCTCTTCCCACTCCATCCCCAAAGCCTCAACTTTCATGTGTCCACAGGATATTTCAATCTCCTGCACCATACGCATGAGCTAGAGTACCTGTGCTAAACACACTGGAATGACTCCAAAACATCAGCCCTAAAACTGACAAGATCTCATTACTGTTGATAATTAAATTAGAGACTGTATTTTATCACTACATGTGGTGCTTTTTTTTCATAAAAGAATATAAACCCCTTGTCATCAGATCTGTACATTATAAAACCTATTTGTGTATGTAAAATAAATAATTTGTACGTAACATGACATCAACAGGTTCTGTGACAAGCTCTGTTGGGTGAGTTTTTGTAATGAACAACTCTCAAGTTTAATTTGGTTAATTCAAATGCCCAACTATTTGTATGTTTTAAAACCCATCCCTTTAAATATGCAAATCACTGTTTAAATTGCAAATGAATGTTTTTGCATTGCTTCAGAAAGCACTCTTTCTCACATTCAGATTTTCTGATTACTATCTATAATTTGCCTTGTTTTGACTTTTGCACATGTCCATATTTAATGGTATGCAAGTAACTTGCTGAGCATGCTTCATCCTTTTAAAAACAATTAGTATATTCTCAGTAATGATAAAATCCTCTTTTAATGTCTAAAGGGAGAGTAAATTGACTCTGATCTCTTTTCTAACAGTAATAGACTCTTCCATTTAAATAAAGGAACTAAATCAAGGCAGGGATTTATCTTATAACCTCAAGGAAATGTACTGACTTCAATAAAAAAATTATTGGTCTGAATATCGCAGCCAAAAAGTCCAAAAATACTTATTGAAATTCAGAACACTATGGATATCTAATTGCTTTACATCTTTGAAAAAAAATTCAGTTTTTCTTCCACAAATGTTCTTTATGCTGTCATAAATTCCATTTTTGCAACCTTGATCCCTAATATTGTTTAGTTGCCATTAAAATGAAAAAAATCTGTTTGAAATAATAAAAAAGTATTAATGCTTGTTTTCAGCAAGGTGGCTATAATGCAGAAAACCATTTTTCATTACATGCTGAAAAATTCCACCTCTTCAATAAATAATGTTCAAATTTTATTTCAGTGTAGTTGTGTTTATAAAATTAATTTTCACCTGCGGTAGAAATTATTACTGCCTTGCTAGTCAGGGAGTAACTCTGAATTAGAAAAACTGTTCTCTCCAAAGGTAAAACATATATATGGGTGTGCACATATACACACACATAGTAGTAGTTAGGACTCCATAAATGAAGCTGTATTTGAAACTCTTTCTTATTAGTAATAATAACTAGCTTTCAAATTTCCCAAATAGATTGATGTGTGTATTTAATTATACATTTATTTCTACATATATAAGAAAGTCTAGAAATTTTGCCTTTAGCATGAAATTCAGAATTTAATGCACATTTTGGAAATAAAAACCAGATTTTTATTCAACCTACCCTTAATAGTGAGTCAAATAACTCGTCACTTATTGAATAAGATCTCTGAAATCTGTACAGTCTTTATTTTTAAGAGACTTTAACAACTCACAAGAAGTTTGCAACATGCACTTATCAAGAGGTTAACTGAGCATGCCTATCATGGTTACACACAGAAAATTGCTGAGTTATGGGCCAATACTGACAGTTTTCCCCATGTCAGCAGCAGATGAATCCCAAGTCTGGGAAGGTTTAACCTTAACTATAAAAGTTCAAAAACATTCCTGCGTTAACTACAAAAGCATTTTAAAAGCACAGTGGTGAGGCTAACAGGCTAGTCACATGCCTACTCACAGCAAAATTATAAGTTAATGCAGCCAGTGAACAGCAGCAGCCTGCTCTGACAGAAAATATGTTCTAACAATAAAATATAAGCAACTGAATTCCAAAAGCATCACGTAACATGCACGAGCTATTGCAGCTTCTCTTCAGGAACATACTTTCCTAGGATGCAAACCAACTTCTGCAGTTAGAATTTTCCCCCATGCATTAGTCATATAAAATGAAGAGCTTATTATCTACAAAAACTAAAAAGAATATAAAATGCCAATTCAATGAAGTCTATCTGGAAAGAAATCAGGGACCACAGCTTTCCAAATTTCTACTCAGTATGGGGCATTGAACAGTTTGAAGAAGGAGGAAAATAGGTAAGTAAAATACTGTTACGCTGTCCTAACTTGAGGGACACCTAAGGATAAGGATAGATTTCTGCAATTAGATTTAATGGCAATATATTATAGTTTTGAAAAATAATCTGCATACAGTGCACATAGTGGAAAAATAAATCCTGGGTTACACTGTTTAAAACTTTCCCATTATTACAGGAAAATGAAATTATTGCCTTAACTTTGATTTCACATAAGAAAGATTTTAATATAAAAAATAATCTCACAAATAATTCCTGAAACAACCATGTTTTATATGCAAGTAGAACCTCAATTCTATTCCACAATATTTAAAAACTTTAGAATGAAAAAAACCCCATGCTCTGAGAAGTCTCCCTCACTGAACAACACAATTTGCATGCATTAGAATTATTTTATTTTGAAATGCACTTAGCTGACAGCAAAATGCCACTACTGTACAAGCCAAAGGCAACAAGTGAATGATTTAAAACCAAGAAAGCAGAAAAACACACTAAAAATGGATGCTCTGGAGTTAAAAAAAGAAAAATCCAAGAAGCCAAGCTCATCATTAAAGAAAGGGTTAGAATGACATAAACAGAAACCTTGCTTTTAAAAAGAGGTAAAACAATGTAGTAAAAAGAGATTAAGTGCCAGCCAGACAAATACAAATGAACACCTAAAGGAAAGAACAAATTAAAAATATAAAACAGGATAGTAACAAATCTCATACATGCATGTATAGTGCTCCGAATGCAGTGCCTTCTTCCTCAAAAGAACCAATAAATTGTGATCCTGGGTAGTTCAAACCAACAATCCTATTCCTGCACAATAAACAACTTCAAACTGAACTTCAACATTTGTTGAACTTGCCTTCCTGATAGCCTGCAAACCCTCGGGAGAGTCTCTGAAGTTTCTCAGTAGAAGAGAAACTCAAGGTGGACATGAATAGGTTTTTCAGTTGCATAGAGGCAATGTTCTTCCTTGAACTACTGAAGTGGGAATAGTCAAGCGTGGTATTATATTTTGCTGTGGTAACAGTGTTTAGACATTACTTAGCAACAAATACTACAGGAAAATTTGAAAAATTTCAGTTTACCTGCTGAAATTTCCACTGTCTAAAGTTTCAGAATAGGAAGGGATAAGGAGAGTAAGTACTCTTGAGAAACCTCCTTTACCCATCAATTATCTAACTTTTGCCCAACTACCTGACCTAGTAGTAAACACTTGTAAAGGCAAAATAGGAAAAGTTATATAAACTAACTACACCAGAAAATCCTTCTTGATTCAAATGCTTTCTCTAATCACAAATCACTAGATTAAAACCACATCTAACGAGCTAACATTTTTAAACAAGAAAACCACCTCTACACTCCTAAGTCTACAATTAGGAGTTATTCCTTTTTGTTTACAGATATCTCAGCTCTTCTATATATGCAGTTATACAGTGGTCCATGTACTGAATGGTGAATAACCTGTGGCAATGTGCTCAGTAACGAAACACCCTTGAAAAGCTAGCTAGGAAGAGTTGTGTGAAATGAAGTGAGCACGCTGGAAACCTGAAACAAAACCCTGGTGACTAACTGAATGACTACAGACAAAGAGATTCTAGCAAATAATTTTTCCTTTCTGTAGAGTCAGTGGAAAAGTCTATGAGGAATTCTCCTTACCTTGAATTATAGTCTTTTTTAGGCAGTAGTACATTTCCATGCTTATCCCACACTATATAGTGACAAAGTGTGGAATGACAGCATCCCAAGACTTCTCATAAAAAGATTTCAATACCTCGAGTCCTTCTCAGTATTTCAGAGGAATGAAGCGCAAAGTCTAATGCAGGACTCAAAAAAACCCACAAGCCCATACAAGAGAAAAACAAACCATGACAGCTAATAGAGCAATCTAAAACCATTCCAAAAAATGAGGATGCTTTATAGAGGTGATTTCAGCCTCAATAATAAAGGGTTGGGGTTTTCTAGTAGTGACCACTGAATGAAGTTTTAGTGTGACAATATGCAAAGAGATTGCTGTTTCAAGGGATTTTTGTCTAAGGGACAACTGCTGTAGAAGAGATGCAGCATGAACAGTCTCACTCATATTCACAGTCTTTTCCTAAGCTAATGAGTTTTTCACCCTGCTCTGAACCTTCACTCTATAATTAACACTTTTATCTTGAATTAAAGTGGTATTTCACAAAGATGCTCAGTACTGTAGGTGGGTATATCAGTAGGCCTCCTGTGTGTGTAACTTGCATTTAGAGGAGACAGCCACTCTTACTTGGAGCAGCTACATCTGGAAAGAGTAAACAGTAGTAACATACATGAACCAGAAGTATGTCAGGATACTCTAACTATGGCCTTCAAATAAACACATCTATCATAGTTGCCTCCAAGAATCACATTCATCATATAATCTCCAAGAAGGCTATAAAGGATGGAATCAGTACACTACAAAAATTGTTCGGTTTGAACTCCCATTTGCTGGGGTGAGATGACAAGTGCTGAGGTGTTAGCAGATCATGTGTGTCAAAAACTGCCTGCAGTACACACAAGACAAGGTATAGCACTATTTTAAATGCCAAAAAACAGTTATCTCTACCAATTGCTTTTTCCAAAGTGTCCGCAAATGTTTAACCATTTACCACTTCTTGCACACTGTCTTTTATTCAGAGAGGAACTGGATGTTAAAAGCTCTACATCGTTTACACAAAATACGCACTCTTTGTGCAAACCAAGCATCACACACACAGAGAAATTCTGTGAATTCCCATATATCAAACAACTAGCAAATATAAACATGTAATATGTTATACGATGCTGCTATAGTCAAGCTGTAACTTTATGCAAATATTTCTTTAACTGATCTCTAAGAGGCACTGCCTCTAATCAAAACAAACCTATAATGTCTTAAGTGAGACACATTACACAGATTTATAGACACTACTTAATGTCCATTACCAGTTCCCTAAAAAACCAGTCCTCATTTGCAATCACTAAGTGCCTGAATCAACTACCAAATTGGTAATGTTTCAAAGAAATCACTGGACTAAGCTCAAAAGACCAAACGTACCCTCAAGTTAAGCAAAGTTTGACAATTTAATGACAATTATTAAAGTAAGTATCTGCCTATTTAGTGGATATGGAGTGAAAAATCTGCAGTATATAAGGTTACCAATTGCTTTTTCAAGAAAACTTTATTTTAAAAGCACACCTGGTACCTAGTAAATAAAGTTAAGGACCTGTTAAGAACTGCAGTGAAGAGTTTGTTCTTTACAGATTGCAGCAAGTCTGAGTTGAGGAAGTTCTGACAGATGCAAAATGTACACCTGTTGCAGGCGCACATACAGCGTAACCGGGCATGGCTGCGAAAACACACAGAAGGACAGGAGTTGAAATTTTGCTCATAAAATCAGGTGCACATTAGGGCTGTGCCACAACCAAGAGAGATTTAGGAATAAAAGGTACATTTGAATGAGTAAGGAGAGGAGAAAAAAAAAATACACTGAGGAAGCAAGGGTACAACTACAGCTGTGCAGAATTTTAGGTTAGATGTTCTACATCTTGGACATTTTGGTATTACCACCATACACAGATCTCAATAGCAAAGCACAAACATGAATGACAACGTTTGCTGAATTTATTTACGTTTGTAAAGAAAGCATCTAAAGGCTTCTGAGTATGTCTGCACAGCAATAGGTAACACCCCTTTTTCAAAGGAAAGTACATTTCTACCACATTTTCTACCACTTTGAATGCACACTTTACAAAGTGACAGTTACCTCTACCTTTCCCACCCTAACAAACACACATGCTTGAAAACTAAGGGAGAAGCAGGAATATTGATATGACAAGACATTTGGTCAATGCTACACTTTAGTGATTTCCCAGTATTCCAGCACTACAAAATAAATACAAGAGAACAAAAACAAAACAAAAGCTTTACAAAACTAATCCAATAAATTCAGTTTAAAACATTTAAAAAAAAATCCTATTATTTTGGGTGAAGGTGACATTAATTCTATTTAATTTAAAGCAAATGTCAGCTGTCATACTAGACTCCATCTGCTGTAATATTTATGTAGTTCAACACCATATTAAAAGCTCCACCCACCAAAAAAGGAGATGCAAAGTGAGCTTAGCAACAGTGAGATGTGTAGCAAAGAACGTGAGCTTAAGTATCTTCTATCTGCAGCCCCAAAGGTGTTTATACAGAAATTCTATTGAATAATATAAGATCTATTAGATTAATGAACTGAAGCACATAATAATAAACACCCTGAAAATAAAAAAAAGCTTCAAGCAGTGCATTGAGGGAACTGTTGTTCACTTAAGAGCGTCATTACTTGTAATCAACTGTCAAGTATTTCAAAAATACCAAGTTATAAATGTTGACATGTTGAGTTATGCACCCACAGCAAGGACAGAACAGAACCCTACATACTAATTGGAATTTGCAACAGGAGCTGGATAAAGTAGTGTATTCTTTTAAAAATACCTTAGCAACAACAGCTGGCACTGGTTTATATGCTGGATACAAACCAACTTTCTCAATCTAAAATAATCTGAAGATTCTACTCAAGTCTCTTATGTCTCTCTGTTGCTAAATCTCAGTGAGGCAGTTCGATCCTCGTGGCTAACAATGACATGCAGTGGTACTGCGTGTGACCCATGCAATATGAAAAATACAACAGTTCAAGTACTTACGGATACATTGCCATAGTTGTCAGTTTAACAAAGATATCCTTACTCGGCACATCAACTGTATTGCAAGTAAAGGCTTGAGGTGGAGGCATTTTGTGTTTTTTGCAGAATTCAGCAGGAGAAATACTATATTCCTGTCTAACTTCATGCAAGTCAGACTTTGCAGCTACCACTAAGCATGGTATTCTGCTATCCATGAAGTGCTGCTGCAAATTTAAAGAAAAAAAGGGAAAGAAACAGTGTATGATACATTCAACCTGGAACAGCCTAAGTTGAACTGTTTGCAGCAGCATTGATATATTCATTGCTTCATATAGAATCATAATATTTTATATAGACAAGTAGATGTTAGCTTTGTATGAATAACAAAACTGCATTTTTAATGAACCAGCCATATATAACCAGCACACCAGTAACTGACACTGAGTATTTTGTCAGTGAAAAGATATATAAATGTAAAGGTTTGTATATACAAGCTATACAAACCTTAAAAATCCTGGCACAGTACTCAAAGGACTTAGGGTTACTGACATCATATACCAGGCAGACAGCATCGCATATGGTCTCTGCATCAGTTAAAAATTCAGAGTCACTGACATCATGTAGCTGGAAAAAAGAGACAGTTGAAGATGGATAAAAGCTTTGTCATCATGCAGTTAAAGGAATTTTATAACTTTCTTTTTCTCATAATTTTTATGGCTCATTTTTATGTATCCTTAGAACTAATGGACTGACAATAGGCAGAATTAATGAGAAAGAAATAGCAGAAATTTACCATACAGGCAACATATGTGAGCTGTTAACATCACCTCTGCAGGCAATTACAACCTCATCATAAAAATTTACACTAATACAAAGTCTTAGATTCCCACAGAAACTGGCATTTGTCTTACAGAGGAAAACCACAGAGCAGAGGGCTAGATCTTGAAAAACAAAGGAAGATATCATATTATCATAAAGGAAAACACACAATGGAATGAACTTTAAAGAAAGTATTTCACCCACTGAAGATGAACTTTAGCCATCCTAATCACCCTACGTGACAGATTATTCTTTATTGAGTAAGTAAATTGCTTTCTGATAATTAATCATATGTTATAATTTGATGCCCTGCAGCAAAAAGGACTGGGTTCGGTACAATTTGAGTCAAGGTTTCAAAAATAACAGGTCCTGAACAGGCTCAGTTTAAAGTACTGGCAACATGTAAAACCTGAAGTTATCTGAGTCAGAAAAGGAGTTGTAGGGAATCCACATTTAAGAAGATGATGCAATTAAAACAGAAATTTGTTTGTAGAAGGCTCTGAATAATTCACTAAATTTTAAGATTAACCAGTCATATGAAAACAATAATGAGGTAACCTTACCAGCAAGTATTTCTCCTGTCCATATACATAGACTGTATTAATGGCATAGTAAGATTTGTGTTCTGCACGTATTTGCCTCTGCCTCTGAAAATGCAGAATTTCATGTCAGACCACAGCAACTTGACCCTTTAAGTTAGATTTGAACCGCTCTTTTGCTCTATTTATTAATGAATTAAAGTTACAGTAATCTGTGGTTTATTTTGCATAGCTATAATCCATGATGTATAAGTAATTATTGCATGCAATAGCCATTTGCCTATTTGCTAAAAAATAAAAATAAAATAAAAAAAAAAAAAAAAACAAAGAAAAAAACAGCTCCCTTCCCAATAATTCTATATTCCCTCATAGAATTCAGAAATAATCAAGAAAGCTCTAAGATCAATTAGTTCTGCTGTTGAAACTTAACTCAAAAGCATATACAGGTGAATATAAGCAAAAGGATTCTTACTATTAGATTTCTTCCAAGAAGAGCCTGAAGAACCCCACTTTTCCCACAGCCTTTCATTCCAACAACATTGCATCGGAAAACATTCCTCTGAGTCTGTTTTTTCTGGAGGTCTATTTTTTTATCTCTTGTTACTTTTGAAAAAACACAAATATTTTTCACAAGATGTACATGCATGTATATATATGAAAACATGAAATAATTGTCCACTTACATTAAAATGCACACAATCAAAAATATTAAAGGCTCAACTTGATCAGAAAGTAAATAAGTGAAAAAAGACAGATCATTTGTCTAAACAATTTAGTCTTGAGCAGATTTCTAAATTTAAATTCCTAAGTTGCACCATATTTTTTTGTATTACCTGTAATTGCTGATGCTTGAGATTCTTGTTCTGCAAGTATCGAGTAGCCTAAATAACCCAGGTACTCCAGGCAACGCTGAACATCTAAGTATGTGGTTAGTCTAGCAGAGGGGACAAAAAGAATTTTCTAAATTGTTAGCATCTGCAATACCAATTCTTTAAAGTACCAAAACAATTTTATCCTATCTCCATATTGACATGATGGACGTATTCCTGGCACTACGTAGTACTGAAGGACAAAGCATTCTGAAGGTAAATGGTGGCAACTTTACCAGCCTTAACAGTCAGCAACACACTACAAAGGCAGTACCTGCTGGGGCCTATCAACCTACACCATGTATTTTTTCCTCAGCAAATAAAATTTTCCTCGCTTTCTGTATTTTTAATAGGAAAAAAAAAGCCTCATTATTGAACATCATTATACATACCATCTCTAAAGAGTAGAACAACACAAATAAGTATTTTTACAACTTTCAGGGAGATTTCCACTGTTTGAAGAGACACTTCTTTGTAATTAGCACTCAATACTGGCCAAATCCTGAGCAGGTTATAACAACTGTCTGAAGATTAGGCCACAGGATGGCTATAAAACATGACTGCTTGGGTCAATTTTCAACTATTAGATTTCCACTCTTTCTACTAGATTTTTAAGAAGAATCTACAAACACATTATGATACGCAAAGTTCTCAACTACTAAAATGTAACATATCACACTTACGTCCACTGAGAGAGAAACCCTTGGTATGTAATCCATCCCCTTTCATTTGTACAAACAGTGTTGTTAACATCAGGTCCCCATGGCATATAAGGGAAGACTTTGAACAAATCTTTCAATTCATCAGGAGACAAAGCACAATCTCTATCCTGAAAACAAGCATATGATATCAGATATAAATCACTTAATTCATGTCTATTCTAACCTGATATTTTCTTTCTGTACACTTGCAAGATTCAAGAAACTGGCTATAAGAAACCAAGCTGCTCTCTTTTTAAGCATTGTTCTTTTCTTGTTTGTAAGTAAGACTAAATATATGAGCTAGTTGAAAAAACCTGGTAGTATAACTATAACTGTCAACTCTCCCTGTAGATGGTAATATAAACAGCAGGCTAATTTTGACTGCATAGCTTAAACCAGAGACAGCTTCTGAATGAAATGACATAATGACAAAATCACGTTTTTTGTTAGCAAACTCCTAGCAAACTAAGGCTCTTAAGTACAAGGACACACACAAACTCAAATTAAAAGCTTACCAAATCATGTTTATCAAAAATACTTTGAAGAAACAAATATGCATGATGATTTAATTCTGTTGTACAGTCTGAAGGAATTTTTAGCCTGTTTATTGAAAACAAAAACAAATACAAGAAGTGTTAAGTGTGTTTATGAAATACTGAAAATTAAAACTCAAAATACAGACTTTTTGAATGACAACACTTGGTATTTGACCTTTGCATTTAATAATTTATCTTTAATGAGATCAAAGCACATACTTTTTATTAGGAGTGTCTTTATACTACCTGATATATAAAGTAATCAGGTTTTTGTTTGGTTCGGTTGTTTGTTTTTTATGGGGTTTTTTTGTGGCTTTTTTTAACAGAAAATTATATAGTTACGTTTTCGAAAAGAAGCTACAGGGTTGGTTGATCTCTTAACTTTTTAATCTGGGCATTTCCAAAGGATCTCAAGTGCTATGAAAATATTGACAAGACTTTTCTAATCTGTTGCCACATACAATAAGCAACTGCTCAGACTCATGTTCCAGTTTCGTATTAAGAGTCTCTTCTGCCATCTTTCTTATAGAGACAGCAGTACATGATTTCGTACAAGACAGGAGTTTTTCCTTTGTCATTTTCAGTCACATGAAGATTTTGGCTGGTAGGTCATAAAGTAAGGGAGGTACCTGATGTAACAACCTGTTAAATAAACACACTACAATAACCCTTCCCTCCTGCCAAAGCAGGAGGAAGCATTAATTAAATGCATGTACATTAAAGAAAGCCAAAATAAAAGCGATACATACGGAGGAAACAAGTACTCTGGTGTAAGCTCTAAGTCATCATCATATCCAAATCGACGTAAAACAGTCCAAGTTGTTTCATGCCTTCCTCGCTGAATGAAAAGTGTGTGTAGAAAAAGAAAACCTAAAAATCAAATGATGACACCCCTTAAGGCCCTGAAACACTTCATCTGCTACAAGTATTTTTAATAGAATCAGAGTGAAAATAAAAAAGCCTGAAATACTTATTCAGATTTTAAACCTCCTGGGTGACATAACAGCATTACCTACACAGACTGAAGGTTCAGAAATCATGTTATTTGTAAAAGTGTTCTTCGAGGAACTGTTTCCTTAAAACAACCCACCTGGTTTTCTGTTGTTGTTTGCTTCTTTCAGTACTAGCATTTTAGAAGAACACAGCTACATGAAAGTAAGCCCAACGATATTTTCAACAGTCTATAATAGTAGGTCTTAGCAAGAAGCCTGCAAAGTAGTCTCATGGAAGACTGCCTTTAGTTTCCTCTTACCAAAATAACTGGGTATGATTTTTGTTTATCGCTTTCCAGGGTTTAATGAACACTGAGAATTCTCTGTTTAGTAAGGCTATGCCACTCTTTACAATTTCTTGAGTCCTATTACATATGTAAGTTCCACACGCAAAGCAGTTACACTGATGTTAAGAAAGAAAACATTTTTTTCTCCTTTCACTTTTGCCATATGCTCTGAGCAAATCTGTACAACTTAGCTGTTAGAATGTCGACAGACAACACACCTTGCTGACAAGTGTTGCAGACAGTGAGCCTAGAGACAAGATACAGATTTATCTAGGAGACAATCTCTTTTGAATCAGTATATTTATTTGGATTCCAAGCTCTGTAATAAGAAGAAAGACCTGATTTTGCTCATCCCATTACTCCCCATTTTAATCATCCTTTGATATCATACTGCCACTACCCCCAGCTCTTTTAGACTAAAAGAATCAAGATAGAGATCATATTACAAAAGACTAGCTTTTTTATGTAAGAATGTCTATCAACTGTAAAAGATGTGTCTTTATAAGAGTTAAATAAGGCTTACCTTTTAATGTTAATCCGTTATCTGCAACTCCATCACTTAGGTTTTTCCTGACTACATTTTTTACATCTTCCAAAGCTTGAGGTGCCAGTGGTGTATTAAAACAAATTCTCTAACAAAAAACAAAATGACCATGTTAGGACCACTGGCTACCAAGCTGGACAAACAGCACATCCTGCATGAAATGCAGCCTTAAACGTTCTTATAAGCTAGGAAAGAACAATCTAATTTCTTAGTGGAAATAAAGGTGTACAAACTTTATTTTATTTTTAAATACAAGCATTGGGGCTTGTACATTTAAATAGATTTTTTTTTATTTTGCTCCTGAACTAAAATTTGAACCATGGTTACAAATAAAATCAATACCATTTCTGTTTTTACAGATCCACTCTTTTATGCTGCACTTGAGACTTTTAATATTTAGATCTTGTTCCCTTAGAATTCACCTTACTACACTTCCTTCAAAAACTATCACTTTTTTTCCATAGAATTATATAGTCAACTATTAAGCATGGTGAGATGATAAGCAAAAGAGTTACCTGAAAGAAATTGAGCTCTGCATCATTGAGAGTACCATCATTATCCTGATCAGAAATTCTAAAAATGCGAGTGAGTGCTTTAATACAGGCAGGCTTCATCTAAGGAATAAAAGAAAGGTCAGCACCTTTCTAGGCTTGACTATAAAAAGATTACACTGAATGACATCAGGCAGTTTAATCACATTAAAACAAATACTAGCCTTCATGTTATATTTTTATAGCAGAGACATTCATACACACATACACAAAAACAAAAAGCAAGAGGAAACAAAATCCTGATATAACAAATGTATATCCATAAATTTAAAGCAGTTATTCCACATTAAATGACTTTTTATTCAATTATTAGAGGAGCCTCAAGTTCTTCACAAGCTGAAAGTGCCACTAAAGTTAAAAAAAAAAAAAAAAAATCAGTTCTCTAAATTCAGTCTTATTGCTACAGAAAACTTTAAAAAAAAAAACCTAAACAACTGAATATATTTTTTTTTTTTCCCCAAACATTTTCTGGTGGGGAAAAAAAAAAAAAAAAAAAAAAAAAAAAGGACTGCAGTCACAGTTCCTTGCAAAAATAAATGGCTCTAGAACTACAGTCAACTCTTTCTAAATAAGCACGCTATCTCTATGCACCATTTCAACTATGGCTTCAGAAGGCTTCAAACATCAAATACTGAAAATCTTCACAGGGCTCATTCATCTACCAGGCAAAGCATTGATCTCTATGACAAAAGAATTGCTAGGATACCTTCCAAGTGAAGGAAAACAGACACTGGTAATTCTCTCCCAACAACTACAGTGATGATGGACTCTTCTCTTCATAGAAGTCACACAGATTGCATAGAGATTGGTTTTGGAAAACCAAAAAGATTTCAGCACAACAATTTTATCACAACATTACTAACTCATAAAGATGATTCTGATGGAAGAAATCAAAACAGGGTTATTCTCTGGTTCTCTACTTAACAAAGTATTTATGATTGAAGCAACTTTCCTACTGCCCAATACTACACAGGGGTTGCATTTAAAGATTTATTTGCATTTACCCATGAAATTGATGTTTTTTATAAAAACACACTCCTTCATATCTGCTCAGCTAACTACCTGCGATACTTAAAAGTTCCTTCCCTTAAATCAGGCCAAGTCTGGAGCATTTTACCTGAAACAAATTGAGTTACTGTGAAATGTATATCTAAAGGAGAACTGAACTGAACACATGATTTTGTTCACATTACATTTGGCTTAAAGCCATTACCAAAGCTTCTCATTTTACTTCGCGGTTCACATGGGCAACAAAAAAATGTCTTCATTGCTTTGAATTAAGAGGAAAGACAGATCGGATTAATACAACACAAAACAATCACTATAGTTCTGGAATATAATGCTTGACATTTGGGGATAGAGTGGTGGTAAGAGAATAAACTAAGAAATGCAAAACTCACGGAAAAGGAAAGAATGAGAAAGTGATTAACTGCTCCCCCCCCCATTATTTGCTCTTAGAAGCTATGTATAAATACCTCTTTCTCCTCTGGGCAATAAAGAGGACCTGTAGGATGCAGAACAGCTTTCTGGGCATAATAAAATAGCTCAGATATATTCTTCAAGTTTTTAGCTGAACACTGAAAGAGAAATCCTTATATTGATTAGGTAGTTTCTTGACTATTTGGCAATTTCTTCTGAAATTTAAGCAAGCATCAAACTTCTAAAGATCTAGCCCCCTCTCGTGGGTACATTGCTGTTTTGGAAAGAAGACAGCTAGCCCCTGTACCTGCTCAGTAATTAATAAAGGAGGTGTCACTACAACTTGCTGTTATACCAAGAACAGAAAACAAAAAAAAGATGGGAAAAAAAGAGAGGCATATCCACACATATTAATTCAATTTTAATACTTTGCAGACATCTGTCTGGCTTAATATTAAATTTAAAACACTTGCTAAAGGCAATGATGTGAGGAGGCTCTATATATTAGAAGAATGAGAGTAATATTTGATTATACATTAGTGTAACCTTCTCTAAAGAAAAATAACATACAAACTTACCATGATCATAACTTCTATTTTAAATATCTTAGACCGAAAAAAGAAAAAAAAAATCACCTTTTCTGTTAAAAAATTGCCGTGCATGCTTGGCAAGAATGTATTTTTTGTTACTCATTCTAACTTCAGAAAGTCTTGCATACCTCTACACATGTTTCTATCTCTGTATATTGATTCATAATGGGAAGGATAGTTTCCATACTGCTATATTCCACTAGATCAGACTTGTTTCCAACTAATATAAGAGGCAGCCTGAAAACAAAAAAAGGTTAAGACCTTTAAAGACAGAGAGATAAAAAGATCTATCTTAATTTAGCATTCTACCTCCCATCAGAAGTCACTGTATTATTTTCATGATGTAATTAAATATCACTGGCAGTCAATAGGCAAGACTAAATGATAGTTTTAAGTAAACTGTTTTGATATACACTTAGACAGAAGTGTACTTGCTGATACTACAAAACACACACAGTTAAACACAAAAGTAACTAATCATATTGTTATTATACAAAACCAGCATCCGTAGAAAAGCTATGTAGACCATGTAGCCAAAACTCATTATACCATAACAAATATAAACACACCTGGTAAAAGCTGCCCATGAAATTCAAAATAAATAGCATTGCTGGCATATGTAACAGACCTACATACTTTAAATCTCTTGTTGCTTGGACTTCTTACATAAACTTTTGGGTTAGAATTTGATTTTCTTAAACAATTAACATCCTCAACACTGTCCATTGACACCCATCGATGTGCAGCCTAATTCACACTTCTCATCTTTACTTATGCACCTGCTATCTTTGTCTGTCCTTTCATTGATGAGAGGAATCCATCGACTTGTTACCTAAAGTGGGATTAAAAACAAATATGAAAAATACATTTTCAAATTTATATGACTGAACTGTGCACAAGTTCAACTACAACTGCTACTGCTTCTTTCCTAAGGCACACATTTACCCACAAAGGAGGAAACAAATGAAAACTGGAGTTGATTAACAAGCAACTTTCTCAAGATGACTGAAATGACTGAAAACTCAGATGCTGAAATGGACCAGAAGCAGTAATACATCTGTATGTTCTCTTAACAACTTGATCTCAAACATCACCTTATGCATTTTTAATGTCTAATACGGTTTTCAGCTTGCCAACAATTAACAGTGCACAAGTTACATCTCAAGCAATAACTGGATAAAATGTGTTACCATACCTTATCAATAGAATTCTTGTTGTTAACAGCATATACTATACAAATCACATTTGCCTAAAATGAAAAGAAAGGAAATGCATGGAATTCCACTATTTAGAGTCGCTAGAGCAACAGAGACAATTAAGAACCATACGTAACAATATCAGAGTAAGAACAGTTCCACCGTTAGTCAAAAACTGTGTCCCTGACTTGTTTAAGCTATTTGTAGCCTGAACAACAGCTTAAGCCAAATAATTTTTATGTTGAGAAGTACCAAAAAGCCTGTCTTGCAGTATGACATTCACAGCTTATGCCTGCGGAGAGACCTATGCTACCAAGAAATCTAAACTGAAGAATCATAATTTGCACCCTCAAATACCAAACCAAATGCCAGAAATGGAACATAACACCATGACAGACTGTACAGAAAATGTGCAAAGGTGTTCAGAAAGAACTGAAAATAGGAAACAGAAGGAATTCCAAAGCTACCAAGAATCCCATACTATTCATAAATGCATAGTACAACACAACAGAAAGAACTGAAATGGACCTTTCCAGGGCAGGATTATTTCTTTACAAAAACTGTCAATCCCTTGGCTTGCTGATTAACAGATACTTAGGATCTGTCCTTCCACTTGGAAGGACTAAGCTTAAGCTCTATTCACCAACACAGTGGCAGTACCTACTTTTCTTAAATATACGGTTTACTATAGCACAAAACAAAACACCAAGCAAGAACAAGCAAGAGAGAGGTTTTTTCTTCAATACAAACTGAAGCCCATCTGATGTGGAGAACTTAAAAGGAAAGATTTCTCCAAAAGCAGAAACTATATTCTAGTAAATGCTAGAGTACACTTACCTGTGATATTTCATGGTAAAGCTGCTCATCACTTTGCTCTGCTTCTGCATTCAAAAGAATAAGTCAATCATTAATACTAAGCATTTTTGCGAACCAAAAAACTTACAAAACTGGAGTATTTCACAGTGCTCATAAGACAGCCTTGTGAAAGTTCTTGTTATTTAAATATCTTTTAATAAAATGCACTAAAGAATGCTTCTACTGTAACAATAATGAAATTTATCCACTAACTTGCAAGACAGAAACACTCTGTTGCACACCAGGTTTTTAGCAGCTTTTATAAAGAGGAATGATTACATTTGTAGACAGGTTCTTTCTGAAATGAGTCATAGTTTGCATCCCTCTATGCTTATCAACAGTCCCTTCCTGGGTTAATAAGTAGCAACACTGTTCTATAATGTAAACTTGTACAGCAGAATATTGCATCTGATAATTTTACTGCAGTGTTGATGATTTTTTTTTTTTTTCCCAGTGAGACCAAGCTTCTGTTAACTGAATCTATGAAACATATAATCCGAAAGAAAGAAAAGCTCACTCCACATAAATTTAAGCTGAAGTCCAACAAAAAAAAAATACACATTATTTCTTTGTTTCAAATAAGTAAACACACCAAAGACATTTCCTCAGCAGTGGTGGGACAGAGAAGACAGGAAGGTATCTGCTAACATGGACTAATTCTTGCCTTCCATTATAAATGGTGGAAGGATTTTTATAGCTGTGCAAAAGTTGCATATACATTTATGACAGCATATGTACCTTGATACTGAGCCTATTTATCTATTCAGTAAGGTCAAGGAGATTAGAATGTATCAAAAAAGAAAAATACAAAATATGAAACTGACCCAAAAGGATAAAGTGTCCAAACTTAGAAATTCAGAAAGTCATAGAATATAAGGTATGTAAAGTCTCCTACAACTTAGTAAATTTTTCACTGAAAGAATTAAAAATATTTTTGAATTCCATGAAAGTACCCACCTTTGTCTGAACCTGTAAATATGTAACACAAAAAATGCTAACTTCACTGGAATATTGCTACAACTGCCTTTCATAGAAGTGCCAACAGTAGTTAATTTTAGGCTCTGAATTAGTAGGGCCAGCTATCATAATCTGATTTAGTTTTATCCCACGAGTTTCTACTTTGACTTAGCCTTTTCCTACATGTAGCTTTGGTCCCATACCTGTACAACTGTTAAAGAGGCTACTGAGTTAGATAAACAATTCCACACCAAATCAGTCAAACAGTAACGGTATTGTGTAGTCCTTACCTGAATAATCCACTATGTGGGTTGGCACTCTTTCAGGGGTGACATCAGCTGGAATGGTGATTTCTTCAGCTCGTGGTGGAACCTTGGGTTGTAAAGAAACAGCAAGAAAAAGCCTTTAAAGATAATCCAGAAAATCCAGATGGTCAAAAAAATTTGTATACTACAATACACCTGCCAGTTAGTCAGCTTTGCAAGAAAGCAATGTTGTTAAGGGATTCAGAGACTGCTTCTATAAAATTCAAATCCACTATATCCAACCACCTGTACAGAACTAGTACAATAGTGAAAACTATGAACAAAACCTGAATTGCAATTTGAAGAAAAATGTCATATAAATAAAAGTTCTAAAATTTGGGTGGTTATCAAATTCAACCATTTACATCAAAGGGCTACACATTCTTTAGCAGGAAAGTAACATCAGAGTTAGCATGCCATTATTGACAAATTAAATACTATTTAATCTATGTTTAAAAGTTTTAAGTTCTGCACAAGATATCCTGGTCCTACTCCTGCTGAAATTAGTACAAGGACTACCCCTGCAAACAGTGCATGAATTAAAAAAAGTTACAAAACATTCAAGATAAGGCAAACAAGCATGACAGACAAAATACAAGTCTCAATTTTTACATAATCATAACCTGACAACTTCTTTACTTCTGACAGCATGCTAAACATTAAGTTCAGAAAAGCCTGCAAAGCAAAACATGATACTAATAAAAAGTGTGTTCTGCAAAATATTGTAAACTAGCTTGGATTGGTAGCCATTTTTTCCAGAGAACACTAATCCATATTCAGGAAGAATCAACTTAAACCTGATTTTAATGGAAACTTCCTGCACAGATCTTTATTGCTTTCTACCTGCTAGCACTGAACTTTCATGATGCTTTTGTTTTCTTTTAATAAAAACAGGAAAAAAGAAAATCCAATCATTAGAAGAATGGTTCTTTGTAAAGCTTCAAGCTCTACTTACATCTTCATCAAGAAAGATTACTGATAATACCCAGTATATTAAGCACCATTTCAAAGTCTGAAACGTCTATTACATATACCCATACAGCTCCGAACTGCACAACTGACCTGCAGGAATTGTACATTTCTCTTTCAGCAGTTTATATAGGATGCAATATTTTTTTAAAAGTTATTTCTGTAATTTCAGGCAGATGATTTTGTGTTACACATAAATGATGACTTTTCTCTTGACATGAATTTAGAGAAACATTCTAGATTATAAAGCAGGAAGAAGCCAAGAAGTGAAGAGGCCTACAATTCACTGAATACATCAACAAGCAACCTGCCAAAGGAACGGGTCCCTGAGCAATTCAGGAACAGAAACTGTTACCTGCAAGATTGGGAACTAAATTCAATTATGTTAACAATCTAATCTTGACTCGCGAACTGTGGTAACCTACTGATTTGCATTAAACACAGTGCAGTGTAGATTCAAAGAACAGCACATGATGTCTATTTTAAGACTTGTGATCAGAAGAAATAAACATTCATGTTTATATATAAAAAGCTTAACTATTTGCAGCAGCTGCAGTTCTTTTTTATGGTATAAAAAGAACTATGTGCTGCTTTTTTAGAGGAATAAAATGTAGAAGCAGCTTTACTTTTATGCTGGAAGAAAGCAGAGTTTTTGTTTGTTTTTACTTTAAAGAGTCAGTGAAACTTTCTTCAAAAATAGAAGACAATGTCTCGCTTAGTTATAAAAAAATGGCTGTTACACAATGTGTCTTTTTAATTCCTCATTCTCACTCATTTTGCAATCTACTTGCTCTTCAAATACACAACTCAAAAAAAAAAATTGGAGTCTTGACTCTTTCAGCACCTTCCCATTTACAAGTCTCTAATGTTGAAATATGCTGCCAGTTACAATCAGTTTCAACCACTTAAAAAACCCTAACATTTCTCATATATAAAAAAGTTTAATTAACCATGTGAAAAACAAGAAAGGAACTTAGATAAAATTTAAATTCCTAGTCTTCACACAGAGATATATTTAAACTAACCTACATCACTCTTCCAGAAGTCATCATTGCAGTTTTAGACTATTTTTTTTCCTAAATAGGAAACAGTATTTTAAAGTAGAACCTATTAACTTACTCTTTGAAAAAAATTATACAACAAGATAGAAATAAAACTTAGAAAACAAATAAGGATGCTCTACCTCTTCTGGAAATTCTTCACTGACAAGAGACATAATCAGTGATGTCTTCCCAACTCTGGCTGCAAAAGCATTAAAAACAGAGATTAGATAATTTGGCTTTGTTACACTCAATAGTTGCATCCCTTCTAAAATGGGAAGTATTTCTAAAACATTTTCCAACTGATCATGTTAAAGGCTTTTTATCTGTTGTTTAAACATACTAAATATGAATGACTAATTCCCTCATTGTAAAACTTTAGGATCCATTTCACACTTCTGCGTTTCATCCAGAAGGGAATCAAATCCTGCTCTGTCTTACATTAAAAAATTGGCAGGTTTTAACCTTACTACAGAATACTTAAGCAAGCAAACAAAATTTCAAAATAAACTAGAAACGCATTAATAAAACTTAATAAATAGAAACAAAGAAAGCACAAATAAAGGAATTTAGCAATTAACTGTTTTTATAGTATTCTTGATACAATGATTGTGCTTCAGTCCTAAACTACCAAGGATAAGAGCTGGACAAGAAGACATCTATCATCAACAAAGTCTCTACAAACTGGTTTGACTACTCTGAAAGTGCAAGAGCATAATCTCCTTGATACAAATGCACTGTCCCCCACAAAAAGTGGAAAAAACCTCAACCCTTCTAAAGTCACAGTTTTCTTAATCCAAGAAGAACACAATCTCTACTTCAGTATTCAACCAAATGAATGACTCAGTTTACCTGCAAAGTTCAGAGTTCTGATATCACAGTTGGATTTTGTGGTTTTGAGAATCTTTAATGGCCATTTAAAATGAAGAGTTGGTAACTTTTCTCAGTGTTCCCTTCTCTGTAAAAATTTTCATCTGTCAACCTCCTGTTCCTTTGAAAGCCTTGGAAGACTCTTACGGCTTTATTTGGTTTTGAGACATTTCTTAAAAATCAAAATGTTCAGATTCAAATATTATCTGGGATTGTATATTTCTGACAGCCCTCAATTCATGCAAAAACCTATTTCATCCTGGATGTATAGCATCTTCACTAGCATACATGTTTTATCAACCAAGACGTTGCTCACAATCAGTCTGAGCCTGCATCACTGTTCCCACTTAAAACAATATAAAATGTCACCAATTGACAGAAGTTGCTTTGCTGATATCACTGCATTTGCACTTGTCTATTTAATTGATATAATTCTGAATATGGGAGGAAGAAGAAAAGATGAAATTGTACAAATGGTTTTGTGCAGAAAATGGTATTACTGAACTGATGATCTAGTCAAAGAACATTCAACTCATCCAAGTCTATTTTTGGTATAATAACAAATGACCTTCTGACATCCAGAAATAAAAACCTCTCTTCATCATGGTGAGTTAAAGAGTAGTTGCTACAAAATTATGAAAAGCAAAAAAAAACGTTGTCCTGGGTAAGAAGACTTTTGTTTTCCTTAGGGAGAACTGTTGTAAAGTTTTCCCCAGAGGTATTAGCTGAAGAGCAGTAAGATGCAGGTTTCTTAACAACAATGTGGTTGTGTTTTCATCAAAGATACTCATAGGAGCTAAAAACCTAATTTATACCACCAGATGTCCCCCTGCATAAACTACATCTTAAATTTCATCCTGACAGAATCAAAAGAAATTTAAAAGCTCTCTTATTTCCATAGATAAGTACTTTCCTGATAGTCAGGTTATGAGATAATTACTGAAAATAGTGCAGTGTATTTTGCATCTAAGTCAGCTTTAATTTGAAATGGTGACAAAACATGTTGGCTTTGCAGATAGAGAGACTCATCTCATTAATTTTATGGAACTGAAAATAGAAGATTATGGACTGCTGGTTAGTAAAGATACTCAGTATTTATAAGCTTCCGATACACTTCCAAGTGTTCTAGAGTTTATTTTTTTCCAATGAAAATCCATTGGTTCAAGTATAGAGATTTCATTTATTTTGCTTGAATCTAGGTCAACTATTTGCCTTTCCAATTCTGTTTATAGTCTTAGAAATAACAGCCCAAACAATATCAGCTGCCTAGGATGAAGAAAACATCACAGCACTTTGTGATAATGAACTCCTATTTTTCCTCCTATATAAGTCTTCTAGGTCATGCTGCATACAATAACATGCTGAACATATTCTGAAAATTATTGACTATTAAAAAATTATGCTTGCACCATGGATACTAGGACTAAAACAACCTTAAATCTAAAATGTGGACTACAGGGGATGAAAAAGGCTGTTTTGGAACAGGCTTAAAACACAAAGTCTTCACATATTTCAGTCTGAGCCTGATGGTCTGCTGTTATCATCTAGCAAGTATTACATGGTCTAGACTAACTTGTGGTTTCAGACTAATATATATAAAAGACATGTATACAAAGCAGCACTAACAGTATAACTGCAAGTTTACCAATTTGTAAAACAAATTTCTCCCTTCCGTTCATTACAATTCAAACAAAAATATAAAGATGCTCACAATCTCTGACGTGAGCCATGTAATGCATGTTGCTATATTTAAGAGACCTGTATCTTTGACATTTTCACTTGAACACATTATGAACCTAACTGCAAATCAAAGCACCTGTTACACCTGTACTTAAACCACTGTAGAGAGCAAGTTCACAACATACCATTACAAAAGAAAGTAAGATAAATTAGGTATATATTCTGAAGAGGAATTAAACTGAGGATTCAAATGCACAAATACATTTCTAAATGAACCGCATCTTGCAAAACTAGTCAAATACAAGCTTAATGCATTAACTCTTTTTGCATAGCACCATCTCCCTGAAGATTCCTCTCTAAAGAAGTCATAGAGGTTCTTTCTAGGCAGTATATGTAGAGCCAATCCACACTGTAAAATAACTGCATAAACTGTACTATAAATATACATGAGGTACTCAATTCTCAGGAAAGCTTTGTCAGCAGTACTACATTCTCAGTAAAATTAAGTAATTTTACTAATAACACTTGGTAATTACTGTTTTCTCTTCTTGTGAGACACTTTACCATCTAACAAAACAGAACCTCCTTGCTGCTATTTACATCAGTAAGAAGCTTTATCTTTAAAAGCCTAGACACTTATTTGGGTACCTAAGTGTGAACTTAAGGGTGTAATTTTAGGGACACATGAAAAAACACAGACCCTCTGTAACTTCATGCACGTAAGTGCGTGCTGTTTATTCAAGGTCATACAGTAAGTTAATGGCAGAAGCTGGGATTTGGACTTCCTGGCCCTGTGTCCTAGCCACAAATCCACAACACCTTACTGATAACTGGCTGGAGCACATCTGGCTACTGATTTCCAAACCCTGTAAATATGAAGGATTTAAGTCTGGTTTCCAAAAAAAAAAAAAAAAAAAAAAGTTTAAATCAGACGTTGCCAAACACAAGGCGAGAATTTCATCCCGGTTTCATCCCCGGGGACGTCCAAGAAGCGCACCAACTCCACGAACTGCCTTCCACACTGCGAGCTGGGTACCCGGCGGAAGGAGGCGAGGAGCGGGAACCGCCGCCCGCCCGTACACACACACACACACACACACACACCCCGACACGGGCTGCCGGGCCCGCCGGCGCGTCCCTCCCGCCGCCGCCCCCGAGCAGGGAGCGGGCACGGAGCAGCCGACCCCGACCTCTGCCAGCAACGCAGGGCCGGGGCTCCCCTCCTCTCCCGGGCGCCCTGGGCCAGGTTCACCGCCCCAAGGCGAAGGAGCCCGGGCAGGGACGAGGGACTCGCCCGCCCCGCAGAACCAGGACGGTCTGACAGCCGGCGGCATGGCGACACCAGCTCTCCCGCGGCCCCCGCCCTGCCCCAGGGCCGGCCCGGTCCCTCCCCGCACTCACGTTCTCCCACCAGTAGGATCCTCACGTCCTTCTTCATGGCCCCGCTCCTGGCCCCGGCGCGGGGCGGCTCACATCGGGCTCGGCGGGGTGAAGCGGTGCGGCTGCGGCCTGGGATCCCCTCACGCCGCGGAGCCCCCCTCCCCTCCCCGCGGAGCGGGCAGCCTACGGCGCCTCGCCAGGGACAAACTAGGCGGCGGCCCGCGCGCCTGCGTGCGGCTGCGCGGGGCGCGGAAGGCCGCGCGCCGCCCTGAGGCGATTTGCATCGCCGGCCCTCGGAGCGCGGCCCGGACAGCGCGTTGGGGTGAGCGGGAGGCTGTGCCCCGCTGGAGGGCGAGTGCCCCTCTGGGCTTCCCTGGGACGGTGACTCAGTTTTCTGCCATTAAGGAGCCGCGGTGCGGATTTCGTGCGCTGGAGTGAAACGGTGCTGGCTGCAGCGGTGCTACAGCCAAGTGAATGTGTCCGATGCACGTCAGAACCGAGAGAACGCACTCCCTTTCAAATTGTGTGGTAATTTATGATCGAACCACAACAAATTAATGCTCCTGGGCAGTACGGCGCAATTTGTATGTGGAAAACTAGCGGTACCCAGTGAGTTCATCATGCTGTCACTGTTCTTTTTCCAGACGGACCAGGAAATGACACCCGAGTCTTAACAAGAGGCAGCGGCATTAGCTAGACATTGCACTGAGAGAGCGCTACCCCTCAGTCTTGTAGCAGCTGATACACACACCTCTGGGATCTTACAAATGTGTCCAAGGTGCTTTCAGAGTGTTCAGTGACAGCAAAGGAGAGTAACCTTGAAGATTACCAGCAGTTCTGTCAATGACTTTAAAAACCACGGAGCTTCATTTGGCTAAATGAGCTAGTTGAATCCCACATGCTTTATTCACGTTAAACTTCTCATTTTGTTCTGTCTGGAAAGCCACTGCCTTTCTGAAAAAGCTTTTGCATCTTGGGGACTCTGCTTTCAGTTTGCCTGCATAAAGCAGTGGTCCTCTCAGAAATACAGCTGTCAGTTGGTTTTGCGGGATCTCAGCTCTAGCTCCTTCACCTGACACAGGCAACAGGGACCTCCCTACAGCTAGAAGGATGTGACAAACAAGGTCAGAAACATTGCTTGTACGCTGGCAAAGAAATTCATAGAACCTTGCTTCCTCTAGCTGCTTGGCAAAAAAAAGATGGTCCTTTCCATGACACTGTCCTGTTTGCTGGCTCTTTAGAAGAGCAATAAAGTGACCACATGATTTATTAGCTGGTACAAACATATTTGAAAACATCTGGTTCCAAAACCATTCCTGTGGTCACACCACCACCAGGACTGACCCTTTGGACTGGGCAAGACTAAAACAAAATACGATTCCCATGAGACAATGTTCTTCCAGGACACCTCCCTGAAGTGTCAGGTCCTCAAATACAAAGGCTATATTTTAGTAGTATCCTGTAGTTTAGTACCTACTCTAAAGAGAAAGATTTTCATGCATGAGATCAGCAACATTTTTGCTCTCTAAACGTTCCTTACTCAATCAGATCTTTCTAAAGAGAGCTCACTTGACAGAATGTAATGGCATCATCTGTTCTCCTGTAAATTTTTGGATCAATGTAGGAAAATGAGGTCCATGTGAAGGGTTTATCTCCAGCCTCAGAACTTCCTTGGAGCATTCCTTCCTAGGAGTATCCTGGGACTATTTAAAGCTGCTTAAGAAATCCACCTCACTCCCACAGGGATGGTCACCACCTTTAGCATACACTGGAGTTGCTTTAATGAAGTATGGCTAGATCAGAGCACAGCACGAAGAAAAGCAGAGCAAAGTATCAGCTGCTGATTTCCAGGAAGGCCTGGGTAGCTATACACTCCATGGCAAATTCCTGTGCTGAACACTGAAGTTTATATAGAAGCTCTGCAGTCATCGGCAAAATTGCCACTTTTCTGAATAGGCTTTATCTCCTGTTTGCGTGACTTAAAGTTAAAGATCCATTTGTTTCTAGACTATATAACCAGAAAGCAGGGTAAAGAGGATTGGAGCTGTTGATTTCAAAAGTATGCAAAAGCATTTCTTTGTCAGTGATGGAGTAAAATGACACAGTCTTCTTCTGTAGCTCCAGGAAAACTCCAACCTTCAATGGTTTCTCCTTGTGTAATAAGGTTTCTTGATTCCAATGCCATGCTGACAACTGCTTTTTGGGACCTAGCCATTCCACACACCAGGAATGCTCTGTTCTTCCTAATTTGTCCCGTTTACCAATCATTTCATGAGCCACTCCAACAGCCCATCCATCACTGTCCTTGGTAATTACTTCCCAGTAGTGGCACCCAGTAGAGAAGCTCTGCGAACACATCACTTGGCTGATGAAGAATCTGTTGGGCGACGGTTCATAGTAAGTTGGGTAGCTGGAAACCATTACTTTCCTGTTCTGGTCTGTGATTGCTAAGCGCTCATAAACTCTTGTGAGATCAAAAGTCACATCATCTGCCCCTACAAGAGAGAAAGGAAAATATTCTCACCTGCAGGCAACAGGAAAGCAGATCACCTCAGTGTTTACATGCATCCTAAACAACAGTGGATGTGCATCCCTATTCAACAACAGAAGTGAAAACCAATGATTATAAACCTTAATCAAAGTTCAGTCCTGCAAATCAGCAAGGATCCTCAACCAAACACTAACAACTGTATCCTGAGCATACTGAAGCATTTAACAAGCACAATTGTGTAAACATCCATGACAGACTCACACGCTCCAGTGGGAAGATAAAGGTACTTAGCACCCTACAGGATGGATCTTATTACTAACCACGGTCTTACAAAAAAATTACCCTTTTGCCAATAATAAATGGGATGCTTACCTTAATAACACTTACATAGTCATCTGTTCACTGGGACATGTTCTTGCATATTTTATCAGCAAAAACGTTGGGTTTGTGTTTTAAGCTACCGCTGTAGTACTGTGTGTTGACTGTAAAAATATTTCTGTGAAAATTATGCAGAATTCAGACACCAAATGGAGTCATTCTGGCTGAACATGGTAAAGATCAGTAAGGCGCAGTAACTGCCCATACACCAACTCAGACTGTGCAGCCAGCACAAGCTACAACACAGCTTACATACCTCCCTGAAACAGGTTTCTTATCCTTTTTATCTTGCATATGCAATCAGGTATAGTACTGCATTGTACTGCAGTAACTGATTAATTCATGGTAACTTTATTGCATTTTTGTGATTCAGGTAAACAGCCAAATCTCTTGCTGATGTTTGTAAATACAGTTTTCTTCAGAAAATCCACAGGCTCACAGTCATTTGAATATTGTTATTGAAGAGTCACGCTGGCTTGCATACTTACACTGAGAAAACTGGCTTGAAATGATTGGTTCTGGGTTTTTAGCTGCAGACTCTGGAGATAATGAGCAGACATCTGTCTCCTGATATAAGTCTGAAGGTTGCGCTAAATACAAAAATATTGAAGTGTTAAGATACTCCTTCAAAATGTAAATAGGAAATATTTACGCTTTTAAAGGAAAACACACATAAAATAAACCTAGCTAGTGGTTAAAGTACAAAAGAGAGTTGCTTTTTTGAATGCATAAATTATCAAAGGATGGGCAGGCAAACATTTTTTTCTAAAAATGTATGCTGCTGCCCTAAGTGTGGTCAGAGTGGAGCAGTCAGAAAAGTCTGATGGGTAAAGCAGTTGGATCTTTCTATTCAGATAAGCCAGTTTCTGTCATAAAAGTGTTTACAGTGTTCTTAGTTTTTTTTCTGAGTATCAGGTTTTTTGTGTTACTTGCATGTGCATTTTATAAGCACAAAGTAATTTTTTACCCTAATTGCTGACCAAAAAGCCTGACATTCAGCCCTACAGCTTTAAGCAGTTTCTAAGTTTCTGTGACATTGTAGTGCATATTTATGAGGCTCATTTGCAGACACTTTCTGGTATAGTTACATAATACATTGACTTTATCATGAAAGCTGTCCTTAAAAGTTCCTTCCCCCCAGCTCTGTCCACTGGTTGTTCGGGTTTGCTAGTAAAAATTATTGTGGAGCAAAGCTGTAAACTCATTTGCTGAAATGACTGAGATAGAAATACCCTGAGGTAAAAATATGATTAAGTACCTGACATTTTTGAGAACCAGTGCAGGTAGTATTGGAAGGGGAGGGAAGGGGAGGATTGCCCCTCAGTGACAGTGGGGCTTTAGGTCAGTCTTAAATTGCTCTCAGAAACACTCAGTGGTCTTTCCACAGCAGAGAGACAGTGCTGGAAGGAGAACGCCATTGCAAAGGCAACACCAGATATAAATTTTTGCTTAGACACAGCTTTTGGTGGGAGGGAATTTTATGTCTCCTCTTAGCAAAGACTTTGCTGTTATATTACTGTATTTAAAAAAAATATATTTAACTGGATTATATTTCATGCTCCAGTACTCATCTGCATGTCAGTCAGCTCTTTTCTTTTGGGCTCCCATGAAAGAAGTACAAAAAAATCATGTTGTCTCCAAAACTGAAAGGGGTTTTATAATAATCACACACATGCACACCTGTTTCCACTCAAGTTTTTGTTTTGTTTTCCGAAGTTACAGACCTACCTGTTTGTAAGAATGGTTCTTTTATACAAATCTTTACTGTGGGGTTTATGTCGTGTCAAATTACAGCAGTTCAACACTCCCATGCAAGGGACTGGGTTGAGGGGGGTCATATGCAGGACCCTGCTAGATACAATCCCTCTGAAAAAAGAGATTTCAAAAAAAAGGAAACTCACCTGGTGGGAACTGCCGAGCATACTTCTCCAAAAGTAAAATTTCCAACTTTCTCTTAAGATCTTCTACAGCAGTTTTGACCCCATTAAGTTTTTCATCAAGTGTAATTTTATCCATTGTTGAAGGTGACCCTTTGTACCTATGTTTCTCAGGTAAATTATTCTAACAATGACATAAAAGAATCAAGAGAAAGATGTAAACAATAGCAGTTATTTCACCTAGCATATCAGATTATATCATAAAGCCAGTAGAAGAACAGCAGTGATCTCTCTAAAATCTTACTCTCTGTACTGAGAGCTTACTTTGTAGGATAGTTATCTGAAAAAACTAGAAATTTTACAGAAAATAAGGAAGGATAGTTTATTCTTAATATAAAATAATATGTTTTCCCCAAGAAAACTAAGAATGGCACTGAATTTTCTTATATATATTATAATGTCCTTAAGTATACATATATATATACAAACTTTCTCTCTTGAATCTTTCTTCTTGTTCTAGAACATGAACCAAAAGTTTTAAAATGTATTAATATGAGATCTAGCATGAAATACCCACAAAAGGGTAAACCTCATTTGCCTAAATTTAGAAACTGTGGAAATTACTTGTGAGGTTGTTCTCTTAGTCTGTCTTTCTAGTTTGTAGAAAGAAACAGGCCTTTTGCAGGCTTGATTGATGCCATTTGCAGGTAGGCGTCTCAAGTAGGCCAGATGACTCATGCTCTAGCGATACCTGTTTCTCTTCATTGCCTATAAGGGGGACTCTGGATCAGATATAAATAGTTACACAAGGTGAATTCCAGTGGAGGCCCCTGCACCTTGGCCTGGAAGCCCACTTCTGTCTCCTGGCTCCATCACACCCAGTGAGCCTCACTCCAAATTCTTGCTAGCTAATTTGCATCATTGGAATTGTTGTTTTCAACATCAAAATGGGCTCTGCAGAATTTAAAGTGCGTTAACCGCCTATTTTGAGAGCCCTTAACATATTTTCCCCAATACAGTTGTTAAAATAACTTTGTGGGTTCTTAACTTGCATACCTATGTGTATATACATATCCTGGAATATAAAAAGATAATAAAGGAACTTATCTTAACTTTAGATTTGACTCAGGACTGGATTTAAGCAATGCAGTCCCCACTTCACTCCAGCTCACCAATGTCCTTGGAACAAATCTAGTTCTGAATTGCATCCCTAGCCTATGCCTTTTCACATACTTTTTCCCTCTGAATTTCTCACTCCAAACTTTCCCTAGTAACAGCAATGTCTGTGGAATGGTATCTACTGAGAACAGTGCAGTGGGGACCTGAAACTGTTCAGCTATCCAAGACATTTAGCTTAAGAGTTTCTACTTATATTCTGCCATTTAATTTCATCACTTACTATTTGGGCTTTGATGTCTATAAGCCTGTTCATTTCAACACAGAGCTGGTGAATGGTCTGTTCAATTTTCTGTTGAGTTGCTTTTTGCTCTTGTTCAATGAACCTCAGTGTGTTTCTCTCCTGTGTTTCAACATATTCCTTCATGCAACAGAAATCTTTAGTAATCTGACTTTTGATCTGAGATGCATATTCCTGAAAGGCAGAAAACATGGAGTTCATTGTGTTGTTAGAAAAGATGTCTGGAATATGAGAACCTACTGCTCCATCTAACATGCTCTTTGACTGACCCCTGCAGACCAGAAACAGCTACCTCTATTCAAAGGAATAAAATATATTTTATATTATCCTGCATTACCTGCAATGAGATTTTGGCCATGTTAAGGATCTTGACTATTTTATAGCCAACAGTCTTTGCTTGACTACTTAGAAAGATCAATATTCCCTCTTTACAATTTGCATTTTGCATCTAAGAGTACCAGAAACATTGAGGCTACTCGAGAGGTAGGCAGAAAAAGGCAACAGTGCATGACTCCAGTGGCCTTTGTGCCAGCCACGACAGACTTCATACAGCTGGTACCACAGTTCATTCTCAACAACAAAAACAGAGCTCTGACAAGAAAAGAAGGAAACAAGTAGGCAGATTCCTGCCCTGGGCTGGAAGGCTACTCTGGAGGCAAGCACATCCTCAAGTAGCAGTGAGAACATAAGTTAACTGCAGGTAATTAATGTACAGTGCGTGTACCTTCGTTTTACTGAGATCTTTCCTCAAGAGGTGGATGGTCTCAGCAGTCACTTCCAGTTGCTTGGAGATGTCCCATATCTCTTCTTCCTTTAAAGTGACACATTGGACCATTTATCTATATAACCCTCAAAGAATGCATGACTAGGTTAAACAGCAGGATAATAAAAATCCCTGCATGACTGATATTAGTTAAGCACTGGACTCATTGAGAATGGGTCTGGAAGACGTAATCAATTCTGAGTGGGAATAGTCACAATGAAGTCAACATGCAACAGTCATCAATTACATGTTCAAATATAATTATGAGCTTCAGCTCTTTGCTTGACTGCAGAGACTGCAAAAGATTTTTTTTAGATACATGTGCTAAAATAATGAAGATCAACAGATTTTTCTTAACTCCTCCAAGTCTAGGAGTTATTTTAAGCAGAGATCTAGATAATGAACCAGTCCAATTTTGTGCCATTCAGCTGGGTGGAGCTGTAGCACTGTAAAATAATGTTATGTGTCCTTTCAAGAGTCTCCAGTGCTATGTTGGTGCAATAAAGAACACCCACCACAAAGAACAGTTATTACTATGGTCCGTCAGCTGAATACATACAGTTTAATGCAGCTATGCAGCCCTCAATGTATCAGACACCACCAATGAACCCCAAACAGTGCTTCAGCTCAACCTAGCTCAACATACAGGATACCGTTACGACACTGCTCTTATTAGCATGGGAAATGCACAGTACCCGGGGGGGGGGGGGGGGGGGGGGGGGGGGGGAAGGGAGGAGCGAAAATAAAAGAAAGATAAAGTTCACTCAATCCTAGCCACGTCCCCCCGATCATGATCCTGGTGAAGTATTTAGAATCGTGGCCGGAGTTGTCTGGGGGGCTGTCGCGGGGAGGAGCCCCGGGCTGTCCCGGGGGGTGTCCGTCCCGGGGGGGGGTGTCCGTCCCTGGGGGTTCGCGGGGAGGAGCCCCGGGCTATCCGTGTGTGTGTGTGTGTGTGTGTGTGTGTCTGTCTGTCTGTCTGTCTGTCTGTCTGTCCCGGGGGGGGGGGGTGGGTCGCGGGGAGAAGCCCCGCGCTGCCTCCGGCCGTACCTTCTCCCCAGGTCGCCGCCCCGCTGAGCTCTGGGCGTCGCAGGCAACAGCTGCGGAGGGTCTGGGTTCCTCCTGTGTTTCCAACTCTGCTTCCTTCACCTCCTGCAGGAGTAGGTTCACCAGAGCGGCCAGCTCCCGGTTGGGCCGCAGGTCCTTCAGCTCGAAGCCCTCCCGGCAGAGCGGGCAGCCGGCGCGCTGCCTGCCCTTGCAGTACTCCATGATGCAGGCCCGGCAGAAGCTGTGGCCGCAGCCCGTGAGCCGCACGGGCTCCGTGAAATGCTGCAGGCAGCAAGCGCAGCTCAGGTCCACGGCGCCCAGGAGCCGCTCGAGGTCGACGGCAGCAGCAGCAGCCATGGTCCGGGGCGGAGCGGGCGGCTGAGTTTCGTTTCCCGCGGGCAGCTCCTCCCGCCCGCCGCCGGGTTCCTGCCGTGTGCCCGAGGGCCGGGAGGGCGCCGGGACGGGCGGGGGCGGGGGGCCGGGCGACTCTGCTCCGAAACCTGCTCCGATACCTGCTCCCCGGGAGCCCGCGGTGCCGGGTTGGGGTAGTGCCCCACCGCCGCTCAGCCGGGGAGCTCCCCACGCCAGCCAGAAAGCCCAGTACTGGCCCAGCTCTCCTACTGGCGACTTGGTCTCGAGGGCTTGGGTTGACTGTAGAGAGGAACTGTGACGCAGTGCTCTCCATGACCCGGCCCTGACTTATTGACTTTCCAAAAAAGTTGCTGTTACTGCACGATTTCACTTGCAGAGAAAATTTCCCAGCTTTGTAACAAGTCATATCAGTTGCTGACATGGATGGTCTAGTGATCCATCCGGCAGAGCAAGCAGCACGGCACAGTGTGGCTTGCAGAGCCTGATCCACGTGAAGTTTAGGCTATTGGATGGACTGAACTCTTCTGAGGTCATCCTGGGTTACTCAATTCATCTCAAAATAACAACATATGTCAAACCAAACAAAGACTGACATTGTTACTCGTACATGTCAGAAGGCACTTTGTTGTTGATTTCAAGGGCTTCAGGATTAGGTTGTTAAAAAGATTTGCTGAAGCAGCATGTGAGCATAAATCAGGTTGCATGGGGAGAGAGAGTGGGAACACAGGGAAGTTCATGGGAGCGTATCAGCAAGCAAAACTGCTGCATATTGCTCAGGGTTGGATGGTGATGAGCTGGCTGAGACAGGCAGACTGATGTTCTAACTCAATTCTCCTACACTGTTGGGGACACACACACACACTCAGTTAATTTTGCTAATCCTTGCAAGTATTGGCACTTCCTCATTTCTGCAGAAGAGAACTATTTTGGGTATCTACGACTGGCTGGCAATTCTCAGCAAAAGGTGGAAGCCTTACCAGAAACTGAGTCTGCAAGACTTCCTCTTGATTTGCAGACTAAGGCTATCTGAAAAACAATAATATCTGAATGACTGGCTGCTTGGTAGAACCAATCTCAGACTTGGTCTTGAGACAATAAAATACTCAGTGCACTGTATCAGCCAATGCAAACCTTCATCACTTCCTGCAGAGAATGGATTAAGTGGTACCTGATCAGGGGGCACTCACCCTCCGCTTCCAGTGCTGGCCCCCATTCATTGAGTGTCTTCAAGCAAGTCACTGAAGGTAACACTTTTAAAACTAGTTTCTGCCTTTCAATGCTCAGACTAATCAAGCTCATTAAACTTCAGCGTTTTTTTTAAGAGGTGAGACAGATAAGCATATGTTCATCCTGTACTCATGATGTGTTTGCTGGGGCACTATGTGGGGTTGCTTTGGAAGAATCTGGTCTTCACATGTTGGATTTGCCACTCATAAAAAAGTCAAACAGCAGAAACTGTCGAAAGCAAGGAGCTAGGAGTATTTGTCATTAGAGTGATTCCATTACAGTATCCTTCAAACCTGACTTTTATTTTTTGCTGTGCCAGAGAAGTAACACTGTAAAAGCCATTAAACCCACTCTGTTGAAAACAACCATGTCCCTATCTGGACAGGAGCTGCAGCCAGGTGGAATGTAGCTGCCTGACTCTGCTCCTCCCTGAGACAGACATCCAGTGACTCCAGCATGAATTGGTGTCTTAGATCTATCCAACCGGATAGCTTGCATCTTCCTGATAGAAGACGAAGTCTTTGCCTATTGGTCCCTGTCCCTATGTACTTGTGTAACAGATGACCCCATTCACTGACAGGATATATGCCACTGGCTGGATTGTCAGGTACATCCTTCAGGATGTAGAGGACTCCTTCTGACATCAGACCAAGGCAAGAAAAGGAAGAGCTGGTATAACAGCACCTGCAGGAGTCCTCAAGGAAATGCATGCCAGCCCTTCTGGGGTCAGATGTTCTCCACTGACTTTGTTTTGTTTTTTTTTCCATAAGACAACACTGGATGATTCATCCCTAGGATGCCTAGGAAGGCATCCTCTGCTCAAAAGCACAGAAGGGCAGGAAGAGAGAAGGCACTTCATGCAAGATTCTGCAGAGGCACAGATAGTTTCTGAATACCTGCACCCCCCTTACTCATTTCTCTGTTGCCACCCTTCCTGTGCCTGTGGCTGTTGAAGGAAAAAGCCCTTTGTACAAGTACCTGCAGGGCCTTGAGCACCATCCTTGCCAACAGAAAGTGTCCACAGAGCAATGCTGAACAGAGCCCAGGAAGTGCAGCTCACCCGAACTCAGTGCTAGTCTTAACCAGTCAAAGGCTGGGCAATGACTCTATTTAAGGCATCTATCCACTCCCTCTGCTCCCTGTCGTTCTCACATATAAACACGAACTCTCTCACTGGCGTGACCACAGTGATTGCTGGTTTCCTCTTCTTCACTCGGACTCCCTGGGGCAAGCCAGCTCGTACTTCATATCCCTCATCCATCCTTCCAATAAAAACCTGGCCCTGTGCAAATGCATCCTAGAAAGAAGGAAGCAGAAGACAGCCATTAGCCAGTGGACAGCGCAACTCCAGCAGACACTGTTCTATCCTTTGACATGGAACAGGAACTGGAGATGCGTGAAGGGGCCACCGATTTGGTGACAGGCAGCAGGAAACACACCAGAGTTTCTTTTACACTCATGGGCATTCTCAGAAGAAGGTAGGGACTAACCCTTACAGTCCTGGTTGTTGGGTATTCAGAAGGAGCGAGGAACGATATTCTTGTGGCTAGAGCAGTGCTAGGAAGCAGGATATTGGAGCTGTCAAGCCCCTGTTATTGGTATATCGTTCATCTTGCCTACGGTTACAGGCATAACGGCAACAGGGTTGGGAGAGAGTGGGCATAAACGCTACAGGCAGTTGGAACTACTTTGAAAAGATTTAGATTTTTTTCTCACAGCCACTGTAAGGGCCAGAGATCCCAAACAGCTCAGCTTCAGAGATCCACTGACAAGGGAGATGAGCTCTTGAGGCTGAGCCTGCTTCAGTCTTGTGCAGCCACTGGAAGAGCTGGATGAGAACAGACCCTTCCTCCCCACCCAACTGCACAAAGGGGCTTGTGGAAAAGCAAAGAACACTTCTCTTACCAGTGGATTTTTCAAGTACATCAGGTTCCTGTCTTGAGAATCCAGGCAGAACCAACGCACCTTGAAGGCCTCCTTCTGCTGCAAGGAGATGGTAGTAGTTCTTTAAAGACCAAGTCCCCAGGGGAGTTTGGCCTATTCAAGGCAGATCCCTGAACTGCTTAAATGACTCAGAGCTTGAGTTCAATTTAATTCATCCCCATAACTCGTAATGGGTGAGTCACTGCTGTGTGCAGCCCTCAGCTCCCTTCTTCCTGGTTCCACGCTGGAGATTTGCCTTCAATGACAATCCCTTGGGTAAGGCAGGGAAGTTTGGTCCTACCAGTGATGAAATTATCAGGATTAAGAAAGTTGCAGCAAATGGATTACTCGAAAGCAGTGCAGTGAACGATCCCCGAGCCAGTGGCAATAATGAGGACAGCATGCAACCAATTTCCACCATTTTGGTTTGGGGGGTTGTCCCTAGCATTGCAGGATACACAATGGTAGTTTTTTTTTAAAGTGCTAGTTCCATCAACTACACTCATCTCGTCATTCACTGAGCTATTAATTGCTCCATGCTGAACTGAAGGGTCCTCTTCTAGGGCTCACTTCAGTTTGAGCTGAATTTAGGCCTCAGGAGAAAAAGACACAATCTTTCATCCTTGTTGCTGTGAGTATGTTGTGTGCAGGTAGCTGAAGGAAGATGTGTTGGGACACTAGCACTGAGCTGGGCCAAATCTCCAGCACATTCAGTATCAGCATTACACCACTGAACTGTTTAATGGGACTTTGGCTCATGGCTCACTCAGAGGAGAGTAAGGAAAGAAGTGGCAGTGTTCAAACAAAACCTCAGATTTTTATCTCCTCCTTCAGCAGTGCCTGAAATCTCCCTTTCCTATTCCAAGGAGTAGTGGCCCAAACACTTTCCCACAAAAAAACAAACCAAACCATAGGCTTTACTGTGGAGAATCTGCTCAATCATACTTTTGTTGCTATAAGCAGATGTGACTTATGTGCTACCGATTTTAAGAGAAACAGGGAAGTAGGGGAGTCAGCATGTGATGTTCTGTTCTAGCAGGAGCTGCAGTTCTAGAACTACAGTTAGCAGATACAGCAATCCATTTAGTGTTGCATAACAGGACTTTGCACACCCACTGCCAGCTAATCCATCTTGCTTACTCTCCAAGAAGCATTCTTCTTCCCAATCTTATTTTCCACACAAAATAAAACGTGACCGCAAGGAACACAACAGCCTTGAATATAATGTCTTTATCAACCCAGGAAGCGTATAGTCACTCAACAAATTGTCTACTAGTAAACATCACAGAATTATAAAATAGTCTCCAACTGCAATAATCCTGTTTGTGTACTGATAAGTATGCACTTACTTTTGGTCCTGTTTTCTCCATATATCCTTCTTTAATATAATTTCTTGTGATCCTGGGTATGAGCTAGAAGAACAGAAACGAAAAATAAAGTCTGTCTCATTCAAGCTTGCTTTCCTGTTCTGTCAAAGTTAAGCATCAATTTTGGCTTTTGGGGTCTGGGTTTTTTTTGGCTGCTCAGTAAAGGGAAGTCTGAAATAAGAAGGAACATAAGCTTTTTGAAAGATCAGACTTTATAAGGACCACATGGAGACTTTTAGGCCTTAAATGTTGACTACGTCATGCATGTTATCCATTGTGGCCCTTCCTTCTACCTCTTCTGTCCATTCCCATGACCCATAGGCTGCTGTTTGAGCACCTGACTCTGGGATAAGTAGTGAGAAAATGTTTTCTCATGCTATGTTTGCATAGGCTGCTTCAGGCCCTGTTCAGTTCTCACCTCAGGCTCTGGGACAGTTGGGAAAGTTGTTCTGAGATAATGGTAGCGTGCTGCCCGAATGGCATTGAACCAGTCAACAATCTCCTAGGGAAAATAGCAAATACAAACATAAAGACAAGAGTAACAAAAAGGAGCAACAGTGCTGCTTCTCCAAAATGCCTTTCCCCTTCCTTGTGACCTCTTTGCAAAGATTTACTTTCTCCCCAAGGGGCAGAGAGTCAGTGACTTGTCCCAGAAACCTAAAACCACTGAGCCTCTAAAACAATTAAAAAATGCCCCATGGACAGGCACCCAAGTCTGTGTACACAGGCTTTTTCAGTTGATTCAGTTATAGATTATTTTAAAACCTTTGTACCTGGAAAGACATGAGAATTATGGCAAGGGAAGAAACAGTAATCTAACAAAACCCATAGAGATACTTCTTAAAATTATCATTGTTTGCTTGGAAATAATGCAGAACAGTATTTCCTATGTGTGTCAAGAAGGCTTCAAAGAGTATAACCGCAGAACTGTATAAAACCATGAAACAGTTACCTTATAGAGATTTACATACGTGCCCCACTGAAGCCTTAAGACTGTTCAGGGTGTGAAGTTGAATATATGCCCCAACTGAACAGGAGCAAGGTGTTACAGTTATTAGTGTCAAATTCTGCATCTTTCTATATTCTACAAGTCATAGTGAGTTCAAATAAACCCAGATCCTGCAGAAGCAGGGTATCTCTTCCAAAGTATGGATCCAACATCTAAGCATCTTGCTTATTCCAAAATCTCCATGGTATTCACCTTTCCACTTTCATGATAGACAAAAAGGTTCCTTGTTTGACCATCTGTCTTGTATGTGATCTGCAGCCCATGAGCATGTTGAATTTTCTCTGTCTGGAACATTGCATTCAGATTCTCAATGCTGATAATGGCTTTTGGACCTCTGGACTGTGAAATTAAAAGCATCACTGTATTAAAGTGCTCTCAGGGAAGGTAATGGAAGACAGATTAGCTGTGAGAACTAGATACCTCTGAAGAGAAAGCAGACATCCTAAAATATTTGAATATTGGATATACCTAAAATATAAAGCCTTAATTACATGCTACGTAAAATCACTTACAAAGAGTGACTCCCTTGACAAATACTGGGTTGCTATTTGAGAGGGATGTGTCTGAATTGCAAGGGATGGGTTCTATCTTCAGCCTCATAGTTGGAGAACAACTAGCTACACTCTCCCCCAGAAGAGAGACATGTTGAAGATGACGCTGCAGTGGTTGATGAGAATATTTTGGTAATATAAGAGGTAACAGCTGCTAGCAGATCTCTTCTTCATCTTTCTGTTCAACTGTCAGTATCTATTTCCTTTGTTCACTAAGCAAACGGAGGCTGCAGGGGTAAGATAAGGGATGAGGAAAAGGCCTAAATCCAAAAGAACATTTGCCTAAGATACCACATATATTAATGGGGAAACATCTGGGCTCCTCCAAACACA